CTTATTTTTATATCGAGAAAACTATTGTGGAAACGAAAGGTACAAAATCACAAATGCGCTTGACAAATGTCAATCAAAGAAATAAGGTTTGTATTGCCGTTTTCATCCCTAGGTCAAAAAGAGACCTTGAACATTGAACAGAAGATCACACGTGCACCTCACTACAAATGTTAGACGACCTGGCTATGGTTCTTTGTCTCTGTCGATCATATAACAGGGAACAATCAATGATTATAAGTTATATCGAAAAAGATAATCTAACCAATGCTGTCATAAAGTGCCAGACAATCTGCACAAAATAAAGAAACATTATAAGCATTTACAAAACCAAGGGACACATCAAGATTAAAAATAAGTTATGAATAAGGGAAATAACTCGGGTGAAGTGCACAACAATTTCAATCAAAAACGTGTCAGAAAGAGAAAACTGAAGTAATATTTATTTGACTGTATGAGAGAAGACATCTTATGAATGAATACGTCATTACTCATGATAATATATGAGCAAACACTCTAGAACGAAGATTTTTTACGGCCTTCACACATCACTAGAGACAATTTAAACTCTGTTGATATATCGGAATAGAAAGGCAAAGGGCAAAGGATTAACTCTTTTATTGCAGTTCTTCGTGTCATAAATCTTAATGTCAATGAGGTCTTTCACATAGAGAAGAGACACACTTGAAGTTGAAGATGATGGAATTCTTTGTCGATCACGCTAGCTACATCTGAGTATTGAAAAACAGTTGTGTGGTGATATCATCAAATTAAAAACTATATCTTCTGAAGAAAGGTATGTCTCTAAAATGCTGTGAAATTATAAATACTTCATATTAAATTCAACAGGATTAAAATTAAGTAGGTTTAGTGGAGACTTGAACAACTCTGGACAAGAGATATTATCAGCTTGTATATCGGAAAGAAATAATTACTTCTTACCACTTGATTGCAACCTATACAATATATGTACTGTTAATAAAAATGTCAAGTGCATAGTGTTGATTCATATTTAGGAAATATATAAATAAATGAAAAATGAGTCATTCCACTTTTCAAACTAAAAAAGGAAAAAAGGACTCATATTTTACGTGAATGATTTGATGTTCTAAGCGGTCAACAAGAAGATTGTTTCCTTTCAATGCATGTGTTTTTCAGCATTTTTAATGTAGGCAGTACTATTCGTTCAGTTGCATTCTGCGTGGAAATATTGAAAATTCTTGTATTTTCTTGATTTAGGTTTCCAAAATAAATTATCCTTATCAAACTTTGAGGTAGGGCCAATTTCGCTTGAAATTATGTCACAGGAAGGTAATTTTAAAAAGTCTTTCAAATAAATTTTGCTAAACTTCACAGTATCACAGCTTTTTGTAATAGTGCATTTGGAGTTCTAAAAACATTACGGCTTATTTCTAGTATGTACTCAAGTTAACATAAATCATATAGTAAGGACCTATATAGAAATTTCTAAACCATCAAAGATTAAACATGAATAAAGGCGTTATTCCCGAGAAGGGAGGATACGATTTCCTTGTATAGCTCAATTATATAGAATTAAGGAAAGGAATATAAATAGTGTAATGAAGTAATTTTGTGCAAAATATACAAAGTAGGTCCCTTTTCAACAATTGGGTGTAGTTTTGTGACCCCAGTCTGTTCATTTCCATTAATATCGACATGCATGTAGTAAAACATGCCAGCACTGAAGCACTGACCAACTATAATAACATAAACGGTACCAATTTTTTCTGCACCAGATGCGCATTTCGACGATAAATATCTCTTCAGTGATTCTCGAGGCCAAAATATTTGAAAATTCTTAGCTTGTGTTAACACTGACGGGCTTATAAACCAAAAAAGACAAAATGTATAGAAAAAGCCGGACAAGGAATTAGAGCTTTGCATTAAAGAGATACAGTCCTTAATTTAAAATAATTTCCAAAATCTTGATAACACAACATCCGTATTTTCATGCAAGTACCGAAGTATATATTAGCAAACACTCATACCGCATTTCCTTATTTTTATATCACTTCTGCGTGTTCACTGTAAAAAATCAACGTTTGTGAACGTCAATGATGTCTCATTATGAAGTATGCTTCAAATTCCTTCTGTGTTGTACTTAGAAACGAATCAGAAATAAAGAAATGTGACCCCTATTTCTAGTAAAAGATATGCTTATTCTTTACTTCTACTTATTTCTTGATATAAATGTTTTATAATTGATACCATACTATACTACCCACAAATATATGTAAACGATGTATTATAATAAAAACAACAAAATTAAAAACTTACATTACTTTTGGAATTTACAACTGTAAACAACAGAAAAACTAAACATGTAAATCTTGCATCCATGTTGTTGCATGAATTGGTGTAGATTGATAACGGTTCACACAAACATCTATTTGTATCTCAAGTCTTAAAGATTGAATGACAATTATGCAAGATGTAAGTAGATATTTCCCTACTTCTAACTACGCAGTCGTGTGCACTTATACTGATTATACCTGTAACTGTTAATAGGAATGAAGATCTAGGCATAATGTCTATTATATTTGTTTGTAGTTTAAGTATTTCGATAAATCGGATTATAAGCCAAAATTATATAACGAGCCATTTCAATTTCTTAAACGTATTGAATAATGCGAGATAATATTCAGTCTTCAAAAAGTTAAACGCTACGTACAATTTAATTTTAATTTTATTGACTACATTAGAATTGTTGAGTTAGGAAATATAACGTTTGATTGACTCTGAGGAAAACAATCACGCTAACAGCGGGCAGTACAATGTATTAATTATGTTATTTACTACCTACGAGAGGAAACTCAGGGGCGGATCCAGTCATTCTTAAAAGGGGGCGGGGGGATTCCCAACCCAGGATAAAGGGGGTTCCAACTATATGTCCCCATTCAAATGCATTGATCGTCAAAAAGAGGGGGGTTCCAACCTTATTTGCGCCCTTCATCTTGCCAATTACTGTTAAATATTTTAATGAATGATAAACTGTAGAGTGCTAGTCTAGCAGAAACACATTTGAGACGTCTTCTAGCTGGTATCGACTTAACTGGAACCCTTTAATATTCATAGATATTAATTTAATATATCATTTAAGGAAAATACAGTTGTCTATAAATGTTATGTTAAGCATCGTCCTGAATATGCATGCAATAATTACCACAGGACGTTTAGCAAACAAAAACTAATTAATCATGTTAAACAAATAGAGTATTACCACATGTTTAACTCATCCCATTTCTTTGTTAACAAACCATTCCAGGGTGTACGGATAATCTTATTTTCAACATTTCCTTACATTTTGTAACATCTCGGTCTTTACCATAGACGATGCATTAACATATTTTGTCCCTCAACCTCATATAACTCGGCATCTTAAAAAAAATTAAATATACTTCTACAAAATTACTTTCGAATTATATTAATTCCGTTTGAATTTTTATTCAGGTTATTTTTCATGTTTATCAAAAAATCCTGACACATCTTGGAAAAAGTTTATTGTTTATCATAATTTTGATACATCATACATTTTGTAAGTTTTCATTAATGAAAATGTTTTCCTTTAATGTTAGCAGCGAATATACTTATTATATTCTTTAACAGTCTTTTTAATTTGTAATACTTCAAACAAAGTGTTACTTTGGTATTTGTTTCTGATGATGTCGGAATGGGGACGTTTAATCCGATGCTTCATGTCGACAGAGTGTCATGCTTTATGTATGTTATGGAACCCCTGCAGCAAATCTGTTAGTGTTCCGTACTCAACCTTCATGCAGAAAGACACAATATATGTCTCTATCCAACATTTCCATGTTTATAGAAGTGCTTGTTCAAAATTTCCGCCTTTCATCCCAATCAACTCACTTTGCAGAACCTTTACCTATCATTTTTATTATCATAAAAATAAGGAGATGTGGTATGATTGCCAATGAGACAAGTATCAACCAAAGTCCAAATGAAGTGGATGTAAGCAATTATAGGCAACTGAAAGGCCTTCACCAATAAGAATAACCCATACCGTATAGTCAGCTATAAAAGGCCCCAACATGAAAAATATGAAACAATTCAATTGAGAAAACTAACGGCCTTATTTAAAACAAAACAATTACGAAAAAACAAATGACAGACATGAACCAATGACAACCTCTTAACTACAGGCTCCTGACTTGGGACAGGCACAAGAAGAATATAGCGGGGTTAAACATGTTTGTGAGCGCTCAACCCTCCCTGAACCTAGGACAGTGGTGTTAAAGCACAACATAAGAACAAACTATAAAAATCAGTTGAAAAGGGCGTTTCAAACTCATCAGATCGATACAAAGCAGAAAAAACATTTAATAAAAATACAGACCAGACGATGCAGGGTATTTATTCATCCCTAACAACAAAAAAGACACAAAATACAGATCTGAGAGTACTTGCAGCCAATAACAACTAATAAAAAAAAAACATGTATCTAAGATTAAAATATTAATCAGTACACATCCAACATCCAATGGATTTAGTGTCCGATTCAGAGAAAAACATGACTTTGTGCAATGCCAAAATATAGGTATCGACCGAAGGTAGTACCGTGAATGTGCATATGTGAATAACAATGATATTAAGTAAGGTTTTAATTTACTGATTACAAAATCAATATTTGTACAAATAAAAACAATATTCAAAGATCTATAAGTTTGTTCTCGTCCTGAATATACATTTATTTTTTGTCCATTCGACGTTAAGCAATTATTGGCATCAATCGGTCAAATTAATGATAACATATGCAAGTTCGAAGGATTTAATTCTTCAATTTATTAATAAAATCACACGTACTATTTGCGATTGGAACTTTACCAAAAGAGTTCCAGACAATCCCTTTGTAATGAAAACTAGATATTTAGAGTTAATGTTTATATGTAGCATATGGAGTGTATTTGGTTACATGTGAATCTATATAAACAGTTCCTAAAATAATAAGATAATATTTATTTTTTAGGACACAGTTCACTAAGATATCATAATGACTATGTGGTCGGTACTGTTGTTTACTGTATTGGTTGTTAGTCATTCCTTTGCGGATGACTTCAATGATAAGAAATGCCAGTCGGGTAAATTAATTTGTTATATGTTATTCAAGAAAAATGTGTTTTATGTCGCGGTAAATCATAATTTTTCTAACGTAACGATAGGCATACAAAATTATGTAAAACATTGATAATATATTGTAAAAAATATGACATGATATTTGACATGTCTTAAATATTTTAGTTTCGTGGAAATATTCTTAAATCCGGCGAAATATCTTGAATATGCAAATAATAAAAGTTCACATAGTTGTTCCCATATAATTATGAATGGTATAAAATCGTTTATATGTGAAATGTTTCCTAAACTCAGGTTTAAAATGCATTTCAAACTTTATTTGAAGGTGTGACCTTTCACGGTGAGACAGCTGACAAAGTTGTAGAACTACTTTCCAATAGATGTGGATGTAAACAAAACAAGGAGTGCAATAACGATAATGAAGATTTGGAGGAAGAGCAAGGGGCGTGTAAAGGTAACATTTTATAATACTTCATAATGTTTAAATTTATTGAGATAGTAAATCAACTATTGAATTCGTGATTGTTACGTGTATTTTGACGTTTGAAATTTATAATGTGTTGTTTTCCTTTTTTTCACTCGAATGGGTAATTAGACCAGGTTCTATTGTCGGTATTTGTTTTTAATCTGAGCTGCAGTCTGACTGACAAATACCCAATCCCAAATTTTATCCTCATTTTAAACAGACAGTGAGACAAATTATCTTAAGAGAAATGTACTGCCGTACGGTCAAAGTCCTGGTTTGGTGGATGCACTATCGATATCGAGTGTAACTTTAGTATTGAAACATGTTTTCTGAGTTATCATACATGGAGTTCGCTCTACCATTCTCTGTTTCTATCTCAGTAGCTCGATACAGCATAGTACATCTTTGCTCTTAAAATAAGAGATAAAAGCATTGGTTTGCGTTTTATTACTTTTATATATATATATATATATATATATATTTTCAATTACATAATAAACAGTATAGCCTGCAAAATGTTTAATTTTGGATAAGTGGCAACTGCTGTTTACCTATGTAAAAATCTTGTTAATCCTATTTGAATTTATATATCAAGATAAAATTTTCGGGTAAGTGTCTCTTGAGAATCCAGACTCAGTCAAAATATCCTAAGATAGAATAGAACACAATCGATGAATTCACAGATAAGACGTCTTTTTTGTTACCTCAAAAACTGATACGACGAAAACATATCTATCGAGAGTCGATACGCAGGCACCATGTATCGGTCAATCAATTCGTAATGGTGAACGTACAACTTTTTTTTAGTCGTTCTTTCTGATAATCGTGCTGGAGTAGTTTTTGCGTTAGGACCACACCCCTGATAAGTCCATATAATTTTAAAATGAACGAGCGTAACTTATTAATTGAGATCTGTTAAATAATACAAAGGGACAGAAGCTACTAAGCCGATGATATTGGTAATTGACAATGTGAAAACTAATATCGTCACGTTTGCCGTAGATCCTAGTTTAAGTCGTCCATCTATGTCAATTTCATTTATAAAATCAAGTTTTGAAGCTCGAGACTATCCAGTTTCAATAGTATCCTTAATTTCAAGTTCAATGGGGTATATGGGATGCAAGCACTCACTGAAATCTGAGGTGAATCTAAGGCGGACAAGGGCCCCCGCCCCCTTATGGAGATACATATATAGTTGATGTATAGACTTTTGACATGTCAAAATCAAAACGTTGCCTTGTTCCCCCATATTTTTTTAATCCTGGAATCGCATCTGGAAATGTATGTCATCGAGTTACAAGACATCTTAAATATATCAGAACATGCAAGAGGTAGGGCCAATTCCTTCTGTATTTATTTCCCTCATAGAGTCAAAACAAAAGAGTTGTCAAATCTCCTCGAATTTGAATACTTATTGTAAAAGAGTCTTTTCTGTAAAATCCAAAAGTAATTCAGCGCAACAAAATGCTTTTTTAGATATTTTATTATAAAATTGTTTTTTTTTGTTGTAAACTTTGGAACCAAATGACGTCACTATTCAAAACGAAATAGTTTGTATCAAAAAGACAATTATATTTAGCATTGCTTTCAACAGAACATGTGTTTGATTCTCCTTATACATCTTTTGGTTAAATACTAAAAAAAATCCAAAACCAGCTGTAAACTTTGCGGTTTTGAGCTGACTTTAGGCGTATATAACTTGTTCACCTGTTTAGAAATAAGTCATGATATTGTTAGAAGCTCAAATTACACACATGGAGCTGATGCTGTCAATTTAAGAAAGACTGGAAGAGTTTTTGAAAATTGCCAAGGTGTATAATAATTTCATAGGAAATTGGTTCTAACGCTTTAAGAATTTGGCAAAATCCTTTTTCTTTTTGTCGTTGAAGAGAATTCGTAATAATTATGCTTCATATGAAAACAAAGCGTCCAGTATGAGTGCACAATTAGTACCCATTGGAATACCCCTGTTTTTTGAAATATCAGTTCTGGAAATATGTTACACGATTATTAAAAAGGCCTGCATTATGATGATATCGTTTTCGTATTTTCTCTTGTTGGATTCAAAGTGGTTCTTCACGGAGTAGTATTGTTCGTGACTTAAAACAAAATCTGTATTTGTTTACATCTTCATAATTTGATCACTAGACTAATAGATAGTATCAATGATACAAATCTCTTGTTTCTACGATTCTCAAATTTGAAAAAAAGCAGTGTTGAATGAGAAGATGAAGTCGATCTTTCGATTGAGCTTGAGAATAGTATACGTAGTACTAGTGTAAACAAAAGAAAACTTAAAACTTTTTTATTTTTTTATTTTTGCAAACTGTTATGATTTCAATTATATATTTTGGAGTAGATCTTTAGATTTATTTTAGAATTTGTATCTGATTGACACCACTGGTTGAGTAAACTTCATCACAATATTTTTAAGGCCATCCTAACTTATAACTTTTGTTAGAATAATTGTGTAAGAATTTCAAAAAGATTTTAGGCTGAATATCTAAATTTGAATTAGAGTAATATCCAATTAAATCAATCATTCAGCAAATTCTACATACATTAATTGTAGTCAAGAGACCATCTGACTGTAATGACTTGGATAAATCTTCGTGTAAAAGTGGAATCTACAAGATTTACCCTGACAAGACTTCCGGTTTCAGCGTTTTCTGTGAAATGGAGAAGTATGGTGGCGGCTGGACAGTGAGTATGAATTAATTCAAATGTTACGAATTTTCTTTGTTAATATCTACCGTTTTAAAACAAAGCGGCCTGGTGTCAAGTTCATGAGATTTTCCTCACATACTGTATAAACAATGAAAATATTATTTTTTTATATACCAATGTGACCAAAAAATGTGCAAAAGTAACCAGAAAATGTCAAGAACAACAGAATAAAAACACACGATTTGGAACTTAATTTGTAGACATGACATTAGAAGTGGGAATCTGCAATTAGGAATATGAGCCAGAGGGGTTAAAATAGGAACTCCATTGCTAGAATCGAAAATACGGAGGCAACATCCGCGATAAATTAGATCAAAAGAATGTGTGAAGCCAGGATTTATATAAACAACGAAAAGAGGAGAGTTGACACAAAGAAGACTGAAGATCGCAGGTAGAAACATAACCTAGTCGCAATGAACATAATAATTGTTGTACAAACTAAAGGTAGGATGGTCTTTAAGGTACCAAATGTAAATGCATCCACCTACAAGTCTTTTAAAAGGTCATGGAATTATGCATCTACCTACAAGTCTTTTAAAAAGGACATTGAACTATGCACCCACCTGCAAGTCTTTAAAATATCATGGAATAATGGAACTATACATTAAAACTGTTTTAAAAAGGCTACTTAGCAAATGAAAAAGTACAATGAAATGATGAATCTATCGGTTTGTTCAGAAGAAGTTCGTAAATGAAGGTATATAATTTACTATATACATTGTAGGTGCAAACAATATATTCTTTTATGTCAGGTTTCAGGAAAACACGGAAATTAATTTCAACAAAAATTCCGTAAAATAATGGACAACATATAACCTTAGTTATATTTGTTTCACAACTGTTGGTTCAATTTGATTTGTAGGTATTCCAGCGGAGGATGAATGGTAAAATTAATTTCTACAGAGACTGGGAATCGTATAAACGTGGATTTGGTAATATGAAAGGAGAATATTGGTTAGGTAATGACATGAATTAAAAATTTCATGTTTTTTTTCCAAAAAGTTTAATATTTTCTTTTTCTTTTGGGGGTTTACCATGTAATAGATATTGAATGCCATCCGTCGCCAAATTTGAACTAAAATATCAAGTCTTACAATACACCACAATTCATGTAATTTCACCTAAATATTTATAATTTCTTTCATTGATACAGTACAAAGGTTTGAAAAAAATGTTGCTTCACCTTTAGAATTCTTATTACAAACGGGAAAGCATATCTATTTTTACGGTGATGTTGTTTATAGAGCTCGTCAATTAAGATACGATCCATGGAAATTTATTTGTTCTTTAGATAAATAAGGTATTAAAGGATATTAATTTAACATTGTAGTAATGAAGATATTTGAATAATGGCTTTTGTCAGTTTGCTTCAGACGTCGTCTTTACAATTAAGTGGAGTTAAACTTGATTGATATTTTTTTCTTCCTGAGCTTTTAATAGCATATTATAATTTATGGTATGAGTTTTGATCATCGTTGAATGCCAAACGGTAACGTTTAGTTGTCACATTCTCTATCTTTTGTGGATAGTTATCTTATTTGCAGTAATACTCCTTATTTTTATTCAATTTTATGTTTCAGACTCATTTGTTTACCAATACACCTTATTTTATTCCAGTTTTTTTAGCTTGGATTTACAGTGATATATCATTTTCTTACAGGAAATGAACACTTGCATCAGCTGACTTCACAAGGAAAGTACATGATTAGGATAGACATGTCAGACTTTGAAAACAGTAAGAGACATGCTGTATATAGCAAATTCTCAGTTGGTAGTGAAAGTTCAGGATATAAATTAGATGTCACTGGTTACTCAGGGGATGCAGGTGAGAAAAGCCTTTTAATATTGTTATACCCCAACTCTAGGCTAGAGAGTGGATATATTTCATTCACCTTGTCTATCCTACCGTTCGTCCGTCACGGATTTCCCTAGTACTACTTGACAGAAATACTTCATGTTTGACAAAGAGCTTAGTAGTGATAAGTTGAACCGTGTGAGCATTTTTTAGATCAGTCAAACAACCTCTTCCTTTTTCCCAATACTTTGAATAACGATTGTTGTCTGCTTTAACGATTATATTCATGTTATATTTAAAAATTGACTTAGGGAAAATTAAGTACATTCTTAGCTAGCGCACTATGCTTTCTTTATCCCTTCTTAGCCATTCACAATTAACTTAGTAGTTAACTTGGTGTTCGACATTAACATAGGCGGATCTCGGCGTTTTGAAGAAAAATATCAAAAAAAAAAGGGGTGAGGCAGTCGATATTGTACTGACAATTCTGTAAAGGGACTGTGAAAAGATTTTATGAGCGAGATTTTACTGACAGTTATGTAAAGGGGACTGTGAAAAGTTTTGATGAGCGAGATTTTACTGACAATTATGTAAAGACGACTGTGAAAAGTTTTTATGGGAGATTTTTCTGACAATTCTGTAAAAGGACTGTAAAATGTTTTTATGGCCGAGATGTACTGACAATTATGTAAAGGGGACTGTGAAAAGTTTTAATGAGCGAGATTTTATTGACAATTATGTAAAGACGACTGTGAAAAGTTTTTATTGGAGATTTTTCTGACAATTCTGTAAAAGGACTGTAAAAAGTTTTTATGGCCGAGATGTACTGACAATTATGTAAAGGGACAGTGAAAAGTTTTTATTGAACTGTTAACATGGTTTTTTTTAAATGTGAATCTGCAAAAAGATTTTTTAACAACACTGCTCTGTTTCTTACATTGCTGTCACATGTAGAAACTATATGACAAAGAATTGTTAAAATCTAAAATTTGTGTAATAAATATTTTAAATATTTATAATTATAATGAAAAGAAATTTGAAGGACGCTGAAGCATGATCCAAAGAAGTTTGAATTTAAAGATCCCTTTCATGGCGTTTCGTCTTTTAATCTATAGAATATCGACCTCCAAAATTGGTTCCGTTTAATAATTGTATGGGTTTCCCCCCTTGTTCAATTGGAGATTAGTACCAATAGGACCTGAATAGTTGGAAGTTAAATAATTCATTCCTGAAAAGCTTCAACATTTTAATAAATATGATCAAGTTCGGAGAAATATCATGCGTGCGGCATAATAATCGAAAAAAATGGGAGATCGAACGAATATTTTCTATGAAAACTACCGAAAGATTATAATATAGAAGTATCTGTAACACATTATAGCAAGATAATTTAATTTTTGATGTAACATGTCTTCTGATTGGCTGAAAGTGTTTTGTCTATCAGCTCATAGACATAATGTTGTCATGAGACCGTGACGTCACCAACGTTTTTTTCAAAATTTACTCCTTAAAAATGGAATTTGAATTGAATTATAAGGAATGATTGTAATATTTTTTCTGTCGATTCGAAATAACATAAAATATGTGGTGCACACTTTTAAATAACCGGGTTATTCAGTGTGCACCTCATTTTGGAGTTTATTTCTTCATAGACAGAAAAAATATAACAGTCATTCCTTAATTGTAGGATATAATTACTGAACTAGAACTAAAAATAGCATCGTGAAAGATATAATTAAAGGGCAACTTGCGCTTCAGTAAAACAGGGAGCAGCAGGCAAATTGAAATGACAAAATATAAGCATGACTCAGCAAGAGTGGACTAGAGGTGAACACACATGTTTGGGAAATACGATTCTGCTCAAATTCAGATATTATGTGACATTAACAATTTGTGTATGGAATTATTCTAATTTTACACCGGGTTGAAAAATAACCGTCAAATTTATAACACGATTAAAGATCATTAGGATATTTATGTGTATAAAAAAGTTTTAGTCTGCTTGTTGGAAAATGTTCAGACCATATAAAGACTAATACATGCGTCAGCACGTGGCTCAATAATATGGAAAGCCAACGGGGTCAAAATTCTTAATTCGTAAATTGTCAATTTGTAACTTGTAACTGTGAAATTTCAAAATTCTTAATTCGTTATGTGTCAATTTGTAACTTGTATCTTTGTAATTTAAAAATTCTTATTTCGTAAATTGTCAATTTGTAACTTGTAACTGTGTAATTTCAAAATTCTTTATTCGTAAATTGTCAATTTGTATATAATTGATGTTTTGTAACTGTAATTTCAAAATTCTTTATTCGTAAATTGTCAATTTGAATATTGATGTTTTGTAACTTGAAACATGTCAATTCGTTAAATGTCATAGTTGTATTATGCTAACGATCATTATGACGACAGATGGCGCTCGGTTTCTTTTTCTGTGTATAAGCCTCGTGTAAGTAGGAGCACCTCCATGTGGAGTATATACCCTTAGTAATTTAAATCAATTATGTACAGCACATTTATATAAAAGAAAACAAATAGAAAAATTTATTTTTTTTATTTTTATATGGCATGTATACTGGAACCAGGTTATATTTTGTTTTCTGAAGACGACAGGGGGCGTTTCGTTCGAGAATGGAAACTATATAAAATACAGCCCGATTAATTCAGTCCCTCCACGTAATCGATCTCTCCTACTTGCGAGGTTAACGAAGAAGTCGTAGATCAGCGGAATATATATGACGACTGATTTATTCGGATAAAAAAATATAAGGAGATGTGGTAATAAACCGTATGATTGCCAATGAGATAACTATCCACCAAAGTTTAAATGAAGTCGATGTAAGCAATTATAGGCAACGTACGCGGCCTTCAACAATGAGAAAAACCCATACCATATAGTCGGCTATAAAAGGCTACATCATTACTGGAAAACCCGCCATTTTATTCCAACTGAGGGGGAAGGGCTGACAGATATATATGTTAATGTACATGCCTACTAAACTTTTCTGATCAAAAGGCTTAAATTAGGAATTGCCACCACCTGATTTTTCGTTCTACAAAAATTTACAAAATGTGTTGCAAACAAAACGACCGATAGGGTGTTCTCCAAATATTTCCGATTCCCTCCCTCTGAATTCCTGCTTCACGTTTCGTACTCCCGGTATCTCCCCCTCCCACCCGACCCCCCCCCCCCCCCCCTTAATTTTTAGCCTGGCAACCTGAGCCATTCTAATACTTCGTCGATCGGATCGTAAATGAACAGTTGATTCACGATGTTAATCAATAACGTTTGTATTATATATTAAGATAAATTTTTCAAAATTTGCATTTCATATGAAATAAAAAATAATTTGCAATGAATTCGTAACAAATATAAATATTTCCCGCCATTTGTCAAGAAATGACGCTATCCCACGATGAATCATTCTAATATCCAATGGACGAAACCATGTTGTTGTATTCTACCTTGCAATACTGTTGAGCAGTGAGCCAGGATCACAGGCTACCCCTCCTCACAGTTTGTCACCATTTTGCTCTCCAAAATTATCCCTGTGCAAAGATTTTCATGGAGAAATAAAATTATTGCGAACAGCTTGGTTTCTGTGGGGTCTTCTCTCTGACCAGACAGTAGAAATACTTTTCAAAAAATAAATTTTCGCCGACAAGTAATTCTTTTAACACCATTTTTGGCGCCTCTCCTGTCCAAAAAGTTATAAATAGAATTTGAAGACATAACATCTAACAGATTGCTGATATTTTGCTCTCTAAAATGAGCTGTCATATATGAAGAGTTTCATGGAGAAATAAAATTAGGGTAAGCAGATTGGCAAGAATTGCTTCTGTCATGCAAATGGCGAGATGGCGAGATATTCTCTCTGACCAGTTAAAGGGGTAAGGTGTCACTTTGGTTAAAAGTTGGTATAGGTGTGTAATAAATAAAAATAGTTTCATAGTTTTACGATCATGGTCAACGGCAAAATATCCAGAAGGGACACCAACAGGACATCACACCGTTATAACCCTAGTATATGCCATGTCTCGTCGATCCAGTAATCATTCTAGATCTGTATCCTTATCTGTAGAAATACATTGTGTATACCAATACTGGCTTTAATACAATGGTAGAGAGAGCGCCGTCGATTTATTGACTGTTCACGAGAGCAGTTTCTGAAGCTATCAACGCTCGGTGTGCGCACTACAGTTTCTTCAAGGTGGTTCCACTCGATTACTGTTTTTACGAAGAATGAGTTATAATATTTGGGCATTTTGCTGGTTGGAATCTCAAAACACTTTGTGTAGTTCTTGACTTTGTTTTTCCACAATATTTATTGACTGATAATTGTCAAATCCCTTGGCAGTAATTGTTCTTTTTGGACGAGCGTTTTTTTAAATATTTGTCTGATTCTATAGCAGGAACCAGCCTTTCAACCACCTCGTACAGAAATATCAGCTTCTGGCTTGAGCGTCTTGTCTGTATGTCTTGTAGTTCCAGTTTGGCGAGCATTTTTGAGACGCAACCATCTTCTCTGGTTTTGTAGTCTCCTGTTATAAATCTCGCAGCTTGTCGCTGTATTCTTTCAAATTGTTGATGTTCGTAGATGTGTAGGGTTCCAATACTATTGCTCCATACTCCATTATTGACCTGACCAGTGAAATATATATGCGGTTTTCTTGCATTCTGGTGGGCAATATCTCGAATTCCTTATCAGGAATCCTAGTGTTAAGTTTGCCTTCTTGGCTACGTTGGAAATGTGAGTAGTCCATTTTAGGTTCTCGTTAAGATTTCTAGTTCCTTTAGACTTTATAACAAACTATTGCATCTTCAATACAGTTTTAATATATAGTATACATTTACTTAGTGACTCATTTAAAATAATACTTCATTCATTTTTATTTTGCTACGTACAAACATAATATAAAACATTTTATTTCTTCATTACTCAAGAGTCAAATAAATAAAGATTTTTCATCCATTTGCTTCTTGCATTAAGAAATCATTAGATTACTTAATTCTTTTCCAAAATTTTAACATTGAGATTATAATATTAGTACACACTCTCCCTTATAATCAGCTATCAACAAATTACCATTTTGTAACATAGTACATCCACTTAGCCAAATCTCTTCGTCTTCTTCTTGATTCACGTTAAATCTCTTTTTCAACTTGACACGGATGTTGTTAATGCTTTTCATTTCGGGTACCGGAAGTGGTGGCAACCTATTTCTCCCACCATATATTTAGTCCAAAATTTGCGGCCCAGAACAATATTAGACTGAATTTTCCGGCTCAATCTTACATTTCATGTATTTAGTCTAATTTTGACCCGGTCAAATATTAAGTTGAAATTTCCTGCCAAGTGACAGTCATATATTTGCAAAGTTGAAAAGGGATCCCATTCCAGTGACACATCTATATACCTTAATAAAAGAAGTGACACACGTACCCCCTCCCAGGTGTGGTGACCAGTACAGTAGACAAACATGTTTATTCGAGGTCACCTCTTCATAAAACCGAGTCCCTGTTTATTGCCATACATGTATAAAACAAAGTATTTATCTATTTGTTTTCTTTTATATGTATGTGCTGTACATAATTGATTTAATACTCCATATGGAGGTGCTCTTACTTACAGGAGGCTTATACACCGAAGAGAGAAACCGAGCGCCATCTGTCGTCATAATGATCGTTAGCATAATACAACGATGACATTTAACGAATCGACTTTTAACGAATCGTTAAAGGGACTGTAAAAAGTTTTATGGCCGAGATTTTACTGACAATTCTGTTAAAGGACTATTAATAAACTCGTAATTATAGATACCTGATTTTAAAAAAGGTTGGATTGCGAAAAGATTTTTTAAAGTGCAGCACTGATTTGTTTCTTACATTGCTGTCATATGTAGAAACAATATGACTAAGAATTGTTTAAATTTAAAATTTTAGTAATAAATCATTAAAGTATTTACCATTATTATGTATAGAAAAGAAATTTGATAGACGTTGAATCATGATCCAAAGATGTTTTAATTAATATTCTTCTATAAAACAAAAAACGAAAAACAAATATGATACATGTATACAGCAACAAACGACAACCACTTTATTACAGGCTCCTGACTTTGGAAAAGCACATACAGAATGTGGCGGGGTTAAACATGTTAGGACATTTCGTTTGAAAATCTATAGAATATCGAACACGAGAAAAATTGGTTCCGTTTTAGAGTTATATTGTTTTTTACCTTGTTTAAATAGTTGTAAGTTACATTTTATATTCCGGTTCAGCCTCAAAATTATACGAAATATGATTGGGTTTTGAAAAATATGCGCGTGTCATTATAATTTGGAAAAAGTGAGATTATTTTAACATTTTTGTGCGAAAACTGCCGAAAGATGGTATAAAGAAGTATTTGTAAAGTATTATAGCTATTTGTAGGACTGAACTAGCACTGAAAATAACATTGTGATAGATAGCTTAACTAAAAGTTGTGCTTCAGTCAAACAGGAAGCAAGAAAATCGAAAGTAAGAGATATAAGCATGAATAACCAAGAGCGGCGAACAAACATAGTTAGAACAATACGAAATCTGATCAAAACCGAATGTTATTTGGTATTTATACCTGTTTAGTGTACGGAATTATTTATTTATAAAATTTATAGGTAACACTTTGTCGCTTGTATCATTAGGGTGCTGTCTCAATGACGTATATGTCGTATATCTTTTTATCCATAACAAACCCGGTCGCCTCTTCTCGAGTGCGGGATGTCGTGGGCTTGATCCAAATCCGGGCTATGCCAAAAACTGCAATATCGTTATTTGTTGCTTCTCCGCAATGAACGCGGCATTTAGAATTAAAAGGAAAGTCTCCTATGCTCGGTGTCAGAATAATGTGTCCGGGTATGGTGACATGTGTTTCTGCAGACTGTTGTCTTCTTTGAGTATTAGCGAGTTCAAAATCAGGCTCAGCGTGTCGATCATTTCAAACTAGGGTTCATTTTCTAGATCATATAACATATCGCCCCAAAATGCATGTAATATTTGTCACTGGACGTTAAACATCATCTGATCTTTATTATCATACTTTTATCCAGTAAATAGTACTATGTTGTTCAGTTTTATACAATATGATCATGAATGACAGTTGTATTATTAAATCTGTAGGTGATGCTATGAAGGTGCAACAAAATGGAAACAAATTTTCAACGATGGATAAAGATAATGACGTATATAAACATAACTGCGCTGCAATGTTTAAGGGTGGATGGTGGTACGGCGCATGTCATGAAAGCAACTTGAATGGCCTCTATCTAAAAGGAAGCCACAAATCGTATGCTGATGGTATAAACTGGTTGCAATGGAAAGGTCACAACTACTCACTAAAAACAACAACCATGATGATCCGAAGAACATAAACTGACATACCTAATCCCTAAAAATAAACAAATAATGATCGAAGTCTTTATTGTAATCAATTAGATATATTCAGTATTCCAAGCATATATTTTAAAAGTAAATAAGTGTTGAAAAGGTCTTCGCAAGCTCAACATTTATGTCTTCAAGGGTAACTGTTTATCGCCATCTCTGGTTTGTAATTATAACTTTATTGTTATTGGCAAAGTTACTAAATATCTGGTATAGATTCTACATTGAAATGTTTATCTCAAGCCCTATACCTCACGTCAAGTATTGGATTTTATATATCACATACACCTTTTGCATACCTTTAGCGTGTGTGCTTTATATAATTAGTTTAAATGTTGTTCTTTGTGCCTTTTAATTTGTCGATATCTGTGTAATGTTTTTTTCATCCTTTGTCATGAAAAACGTGTTTTTATTTCATAGAAATCCGGGCAAGTTGTAGGGTTAGAACATTAACATGATCTATGGTTTACTACATGAATTAGGAAATATCTTTTAAGAATTGAATGCTTCTTTTTGTAACTTCATTGGGGTGTAAAAGCGTTGACCGAAGTACATTTTGTATGAAGCGCGGAAGCGCTTCATTCTAAAAATGTGCGCACGGTCAACGCTTTTACACCCCTATGAAGTTACAAAAAGAAGCATTCAATACTTATAATTACATTTTTTAGCTAGGATCATGAAAACACGATTTGTATCAAGTTTTTATTTAATTTACCTGTGCACTTTATTGTTGGACCTCGTGTCATCATGAATGATAAATTTTATTGTGTAATGAAGTTGATTCAGGAATAACGCGAGATTGCAGTTCGCCAATCGGAATAACGTATTGTAATGAAACATACATCTAATGTAATTATAGGTTTATATAAGAGTCTGCTAGTCCATGATGCCTAATCATTTAATATTGCTTATTGATACATTCATAGAAGTAGCCTTACGAGTGTCACTTATTGAACAGGATCTGCTCACCCTTCCGGAGTCCTTGAGATCATCACCGGTATTTGATAGGGTTTGTGTTGCTCAGACGTTAGTTTTTTCTATATTGTTTTGTAGATTGTTGATTTTTCTTTTTGTCGTTTTTCGTTTTTGCATTGATTTTGTCAGTCTCTCTCCGGCATATGAGTTTTAATTCTCCCTTTCGTATCTTCCGCTCCTTTTTGTATTACATACCTGTTAAGTATACCTTATGTATAAATATGTGATAAAGTGACAAAAACATGGTTAATCTTAAATTATATCGCATCATGTTCCAACCCTCGATTTATTTTAATTACTCTAAGCACACAGCACTATGGCATAACATAAAACAAACATCACTGGTTCTAAGTCAGAATCATATGTTCGGGTGCAGGTGTATCGATATAATATGATTAAGACTGTACTACCTTATTTCTTATCGTATCGTGCAATATAGGCATTGCGTGACTATTAGACGTTTCAAAACAACAAACCATATACACCTTATGGTATGTTTGGAACTGGAATCAATTGGGAGTAGCATATTATCCCTATATGCTACAATTTCGTTGAAATACTAGAACCAAAAGACGTTTCTCAAAATTTGTGAAAGATTTTAATTCTTCCGATTTATACAAAAATTGGCAGGGACCTTTCATTACCTTCGATACCTTCCAGTGATTGACTCTATTCTCATGAAAAACTTGCTGAAGAAAATACATCTGCCGATGAAATAAATGGTTTTTTTTTCATGTGAAAATATTAACAACTTAGGTAAAGGTATCTTAAGCTTTCGTCTTAACAAACTATATTTTGTAAATAAACTTTCTCTAAAGTTCTAGGTAAAGTTCAAATTAAACTGACAATATGAAAGAAACTTACTAGTTAATATCTTTATGTAAATCTATATATATCCTGCTTTTCTCATTTACCTAGAGGACAATCCGACTACTAACCATTGCTTGGTTACTGGCTGGATATAAATGATACATTATGTTTGTAAATATTCCAGTTAAATAAACAAATTGTAAGGTTACTCCCTCTTGTTTTGACCTTTGAACCTTTCGACTGTTTTTAAGGTCTTTTTGAGGTTTGTATGTTTTACATTTTTGGTATTTTTTTATACCGTATATTTTAAAAAATTAGTTAACACGTAAAATTTGGTAGACATCATTCTTTTTGCATGGTAAGAAGAAAAATAAAATATTTGAGAAATTAAAATATATCAATATAATAATTTTGAAGAAGAATATGTGGTTTGATTGCCAATAAAGACAATTACTTATTAAAAACCAAAAAATATATATATATAGGTATGCGCAGATTTATAGCAATACTCTCTGGTACATGTAATATACAATTCAAGCCTTTGTTTAAAACATTTATAAAAGCGGAAAATAGCAATACTATTTCGCTCTAAGCGTTCAATTTGCTTCAAATTCATCACAATAAGCTACAAAAACATCGCTGGTGTATTATTAACTTCCAAGTCAATAATTCAACTTATTTGAATCCGTATGCATGGAACCTTTTAATCTGACCTTTAGTGCGCATGTGTTCATTATGTGGTGCATTCATTAAAAAGAAATGAATGTCAACATTAAACAGTGAAACACAAGAACCATCAGGAACAACATTTCCGGCCCACAAAAAATCATTTTTATCAGGTAAAATGATGAGTTATGTATATGTTTAGCCTATAACATGAAATCTCGATTTTGTTTTACTTTATTTTCAGTCAAAAGTTGTGTTGCTGAACCTTTTTGGAGAAGTATGTAATAACATTTTTCGTTTAAAAGGACAAAATTTATCAATTCAATTTGTGTGAGTTTAGAAATTACTTTTACAATCATCTAACATTATTGTCTTATACATGTATAATTAATCCGTTTTACCATTTATATTTGTTCAAAGTTCGAGTAAATTATAGTGTTTCTGATTAGAGAGATAGATGTTTAATTATAATTCGTACAATGACTCATATGGTACTATTGATACAAACATGCATTCTTAATGTGCATGGATCATATCAGGAGCCTGTAATTCAGTGGTTGTTATTGGTTACTGTCTGCCATATTTATTTTTCGTTTATTGTTTTTGGCTTATATCACACCGTTGATGTTTCGCATTTTGTTATGACGGGACCTTTTATACTTTACTATACGGTATGGGTTTTGTTGAAGGCCGCACGGTGACATATAGTTGTTTTCCTCCTCGTCCTTGTGCATGTTATTCTCTGGTAGAAATCATACCTTAAATTGCCTTAATTGTTTTAGTTTTGATTTTTTTTATAATAAACCTTTTTCACTCAAAGAGTGCAATAGCGATAATCGCCGATTACATTTATGACAAATTTCATTTGTAAAAAAATTGTATTAAACTTGTTCAATGCATTACAACATTTCAGTGTGTAGATATCAAAGAATTATATCTTCTAATAAAAAAGTGTAACAAAAATACTAAACTTCAAAACAAATTCAAAAATGGAAAGTCCATAACAACTGACGAAATCAAAGGCCATCAATCAACGGAACAAGTGAAAAACAACTGTCATATTCCTGACTTGTATGAACCTTATCTATGCACAAACAGATTTCTTGCATGCATTGTTTCTTTTTTATTCAAAGGACATTTTATTTTTTTCTAAAATATGTCATATGTAAATTTAAGGCCCCTTGCATAACTCATGAGAACATTTCGATGCAATAGTAACTTAGTTAGTATCTCTGCCACTTTTTTTTAACTCATCTAATAGATCTCATTCATGACTTGACATTCGACTTATTTCTTCAAGATACAACGTATATCAACAATATTGAATATTCATATTGTTGATTAGGTCTCAACCCGGAAGCTTATTTACACATCATGTATTACGTTCTTTACATTTACACCGTCCTTTAGCTGTTAAATATACACATAACATGAAGTAATCCTGTTTGTAGGGAGAGCATTTTAAAAGAGGTAAGTTTGTATGATAAACTTAGAACTTTTAACTTGTCTTTTGAATCTTCTAAATTACAATTATTACTGTAATGTGTATTTCATTTAAAACCACAGAAAAATATAACTGCGCAGTATCATTACAAATAAAACTCAAAACCTTTAAAAATACATCAGTTTACTTATACAACTAGCAATAGTACGGATGATGTAATGTCTATTGGAACTTTTCTAAAACTATTTTATATACATGTACTAGCAGTTGTTTATATCAGGGACTAGGTGATTAGGTCTAAAATGTATAGTTGTCTCATTGGCAATCTTACCACATCTCCTTATTTTTAACATGGTGTGAAAAGATGTTCAAGAAACAGTAAAAATCTGAAGTTTTTCTTACCTGATTACTGAAAAGTAAAATAACAAAAATACCGAACTCCAAGGACCTGATCTCTGTCATAGAACTCATAACCCCGGAAAATGTCTTCATATTGCGTATTGATTTAGGAACCAACTACAGAACCAACATCACCATTAATGCATTTTACAATATCGAGTGTATTTTAACAACCAAGTTGCAATCACCGTGTCCGTCGGTCTGTTCGTCCAACAAAATATGTTAGTCACACTTTTCTCTGGTTCTTCTGAACAGAATGGCTTCGTGTTGTAATAGCAGCTTGACTGTATGGGCTGTTACGTGTCATCATTTTTGCGGTCTGTTATATACCTACTTCATGTTTGCCGATACTTTGAATATTCAAATATGTTGAATGAATTTATATTTTTCGTCACACTTTTGCAAAGTACTACAGAACAGAATAACTTCATATTAAGTTAGCAACTTTGCAGTGATGCTTAGTAACGTGTGATTGATTGTCGGGTCTGTCAGTCATATTTTTTTTTGTTTTTTTTTGTTGATACATTGAGTTACGAATGATGGTATGCTTAGCATGGCAACGTGTGCATTCTTGTTTGTTGTTACGTATATTATACATTTAAGATTTTTATGTGATATTATTATACATTGCAACGGAGATGAATGTATTTTTCATTGTAATAAATATTACAAGTATTAAAAAAAACTTTGAAAAACTCTGCATACACTGCTGTTACCAAATCCTATATAGACTCTGATGTATAGTAGAATGGCCATTCAAGCACGCCTTCCGTCTGGCAGTAAAACCCTTGGGTAATGTGGAACATATGTTTGGCTTTGCGGGAACTTATACGTCCGGTCGGAATTGTGACGTTAAATCAGATCTCTCGTGTAGGGTTAAAAACTACGCTCTCTTCATATTTAAGGACGCTTTGCAACAAATCTCTGAGGGATCCGTAGATGGCTTGTTACTATCCAACATACCATATTTTCTAGTGGCAGTCCAATTTCGATTTACATTCAGTTTGACCAACCTTGCAAAACACGTAGTGTGTTAAATATTACGTTGTTCTTGTTCTGAATAAGTAGGATATATTTGACACTACACGTTAAGCAAGACAAATTCCTTAATATATCCAGTGAAACCTTTATAAACTAAACTCTATGTAAACCGGAAACCTATCTAAATCTATTTTTTATGATGTCCCACATTGCATATTGTTTAATAAATTTACCTGTTTATACAACAAACCTATATAATCAGAAGAAAATTCTTAAATCCCAAAGCGTATAAGCTTATGCAGCTTTCACTGTACAATTATGTATTCTCTTTTGATATTTTTAGGATGTCATTGGAAGTATTAAGTACAGAAGAACACACTGATGATGGTTATGGGAGACAATACAGCGCAAAACACACAGTGAGGACAACATATAACCACCCAAAGGGTGTCATGTTTATGCATATTCATGAGGATGGGAAAGATTATGAGGACCGTTATCGTCACGAGACTGTATCAATTGGCGATATTGAAATTAGATATTCTTATGATTGGGGAAACTATTTTACATGGGAATATGTTAAGATATCAAAACAGGGTGATGAAATCAGCTATGCACAGCAAGAATTTGGACCAGTCGATCCCTTAAAGAAGGAAAGTCGACAAGCTAATATAAGGGAAAGGAGGTATTAAAAAAACTCAGTGAAGATCTGTGTTTATCACTTAAAGATTTTATCAACATACTTACGTCATACTTTAAAATCAGTTCTGATGTTTTGAATATATTCCTGAGATAATTTGTTATACGGTGCAAAGTATTTGAGTTGTGGATATTAAAATTCATATTTAATTATTCTGAAATATATTTTTCATTATTAAAATCTTCATATAAAATTTGCCAGTGTTTTTATCTTTGTATTTGCTTTTGCTTGAGTAATTATCTATACTTTTGAGGACTGCAGACATTTTAATTTTTTTGGAGGGGGATTTCATCGTCACATCATACGTATAATTGTTATATTGTTCCCCGACCCATGTTTCACAGTCACATGCATCGTACAATAAGCAATCCATAAAAAGTTTATTTATAATTCAAGAATTTAGATTTACAGCCAATTATTTGAGAGAGAGAGAGAGAGAGAGAGAGAGAGAGAGAGAGAGAGAGAGAGAGAGAGAGAGAGAGAGAGAGAGAGAGTATAACATCTGGTCATGTAAGTGAAGTGCATTTGTCCATCGCTTGCGCTCTGCACAGTAGCTCAACCATTTTCGATGTTTCATTATTTTTGCAATTTGTTTACGGATTGTACCTTTTTTTACACATCCGTCGTAGTTCCGCTATACTGATATCTTTGATGTTTTTTTTCCCGCCCATTCACTTAAGAGTCTTAGAGTCGAGGGTTTTTGTAGTCGAAATAAAGAAGGAACGAATGATTCGCCTTTGCAGCTATTGATCTGATATTAAATAATTAAGTATAATTCATAATGAGCAGTAAAGGATAAATTGAAGTTCTTTCTGTTTGATTAAATTAAACCAACAATTGCAATATAAAAAAAGTTTTATTTCAGTTGAAATACTTTTGTCTAAATGACAATTGAGTGTACTTCATTCAATGACAACATTAGATGTTTTCTCTTTATTGTTTCGTGTATGTAAATGTGTGCATATAGTGAGTAGTTACGAACTTCAGTTGCGATTGATATATAATTGACCTAATTATCATTGAAGTTCAGTACAACTACAATTTATCGGTACATTAACAATGTACATATAATTTACACCCCAGTTTCATATTAGCCGTAGGTGTTGACGCAATGTTTTAAAAAATATGTCATTTTAAATTTTTTCCTAGCTTTTAAGGAAAATATTTTTTTTAAGATTTTCATGCAACTCGTCCATATTTCGTCCCAGATCTCTTAACGTCTTCTGCAAATCAAACAAATTATTCACCGATACCTTCGAGTGGTTAATTCTGTTTCATGTAAAGCTTGTTGAAAAAAGCTCTCCATGTAATCAAATTGTTTCAGGTGGAAGTAAGTAGGAATTTAGGTAAAGGTATCTTAAGCTTTCTTCTAAACACACTGTATGTGTATACAACCTTTTTTTATAAGTTTTATATAAAGTAAAATTTGGCAATTTGAAAGAAAATTAGTCAATACTTGAGTTTTTTTTTTTTACCTTAATCTATGTATATAATTATTTTCGCATTTACTTGAGGTATAATCCGATAAGTAGCCAGTGCTTGGTTACTGGTGTCACGTGACAAGCGTGATATTAATGTAAATCTTACAGTTAAATAAATACATTTTGTGAAATTGACAAAATGTAATTGTAACTCCCTGTGATTTTGTTCGACTGTTTTAAGGTCCTTTAGGCGTTTGTATGTTTTGAAATGTTTTATATTTTTGGCTTTTTAAAACTTTTAGCTCGAGTTCACCTGCTGGTTATTCAAGAAACACATGTATCAATTTTTTTCATAACCGCTGAGTTAGCATCGTTGATGGTGAACTTTCAGTTCACAAATGTACATCCTCCGAGTAGCCAATGTCTTGGTACTGACATGATTTAAATATCTATTTTGTCGGTGACTTTTTGAAATTATATTGTTACCGTTAAATGTTTTGACTGATTTTATCTTTTTGCAAGCTCTACAATGTTTCTTCGACTAATGAGTTGTGGTTCTCTTTTTGGTATCTTCCGCCATTTTTTTTTTCATATCTCGAGCTTTTCCGTTGAAGGTCATGCCATACAAACGTTATTCTCACAATTTTATTACGTTTACCATCATTTTTACTTTCAGTAAAAAAATCTACGAACACATTGTTTTTGATATTTTATTTAAACTTGTTTTACAATGGCTGTTATTTATTCATTTACATGACCATTATGCTTGTATTGATATTTAACAAAACACGTACAAACACGTGCATAATCACAGATACAACCAAAAACTAACAACTTTGAATCTTTCAAGATTACAATAAATTAAATGTTGTAATTCTATATTAATGCATAACTATATGATACAGGTTTCTTAAATATCTAAATATCGAACCATCTACTTAACATAGGCACCTCAGAATTATAACATAAACATTTTGTGAAATTTATAACAAGAACGACATAAATTATTTTATTTTTTCAAAGATCGATCCTTTGAAAAAAAAGTGGAAGAAATTACGTAACATGAATAGATGTGCCTCAAGGCAATGTTTTCCGCTCATATCACCTACGTTGTGGTGATGATCTAGAATACAAGGTTATAAAACAAAAGATTAACAAACGAGCATACTTCCAGCGGAAAGCTATGATAATGTGTCAGCTTTTAATACCATGTCGTCGATTGATTCCACAGCTTATGTGATGATTATTTATGGAAGAATACGATGCTTATTTTATTTTGTTTCAACTCCAAGATGTGTGCAAAAAAGCAACAGTTTCACATTTGATTACCAAAAAGCAACAATTTCACATTTGATGCTTGGAATCGTTGTTAACAGAATCATACAACTTTTGTGCGACATGATTTAGGTCACTAGTGGAGCACGAACTGCTTAACTCTCTGATCCCTTCCTTTTACCACTAAATTTTGGTTGGGTTCCAGTCTAAATCTTTATTTTTGTGTGTGATGTATCTTTTTGTATTGGAAATGGTATTTTATAATCTACGATTGAAGGACAAAGACCCTTTTTTTACATAAATATAACTAGACATAAGGTATAACAAGTAGCATAACATATAAGCTTTCTAAACCCTGAAAGGTTTGATAAACCTTTGAGAACATTGACATCTGTAGAAACCCAATGTCGAGAAACAAAGAAAGCATTTGACACTTTCTAGTATTCGCAGTATTGAATAAGACTATCTCAGCGCTCATTTCTTATCCATGTATATGAAAATTTGCCATAACCGAAAAAAATATTCTGTTAAAGAAAAAAAACATAAAAAATGCTATAGAAATAAAATCGATGCTTATAACAAACGGTAACTTTTTTTAAAAATGATTTGAAAATGTGTGTCTCTCTTGAATTTTGGCGGCAATAAGTTTAGCTACCAAGTTTTGAGACTACAATCAAACTACTTTGGCACCAGAGACATTTTTCCCCAAAATACAAAGATGAACGTGTAACAGCTTATAGTTTTCAGCTCTATCACAGATAACAATATCGTGTATGCACCTGAAAAGAAAAAAACAATATTCAAAGAATAAGAAGTGCTGTAAACATCAAATAATATTTCCTTTTAGAGGGCTGCAAGAGTACTATCTGTGTAAAAAGTGTTTTCTATTCTTATTTTAAAAACATAACTAATATGTATGATAAATAAATAAATCTTTTTACCGAACCATAAATATTTTGGAAGTAAAAAATATAAGTGAATGCGTACGTCAGTATCTTTTACTGAAAAATTGCGTGTTTTGGTCGAAATCGTAAGAAATACAATTCCACGTTTATACTAATAGGTTTAAAATATGGGACTAATAATATTGTTGTTCATCCTAGATAAATGTAAACAATTCATCCACCAACGAAAATCAAGTCATATTACAAATTTAATTCGTCCCCATTTGATCAAACAGTTAGAGATAATTGTGAAGAAAAAACGTATCATAATATCCTTTGACATTAAATAGTTACACCAGCATAAAAAATTCTTCATTCTTCATACCAACATATATTTAAATGTATCAATGTCTGATTTGTTGGAATACCTATTGCAAATTACGTAATTGATTTATAAATTATCAACAAAAAGGCTATGCACATTTCTATGTATTGTCTTGGGTGCTGAAGTTTGTCATTAAAAATATGAATCTATTTGCCATATCCACACTTATCAATATGGTTACAAAGCCTTTGATTTTTTATTTAACGCACTAAGCATGGAATTTTACGTGGATGTCTAATACATGTACGTTTGGTTGTATTCTAAATTTCCTTTTCAATCATACAAAATCTACACATACATACTAAAAACCCGAATCTATGAAACAGTGTTTTGTTTTGTCGACCTTCAATTTAATTCTTTGCGATTTGCATTCGTTGAATTATTTTCTACCAAATTATAAAATATTGACTGGCGTCCTTTTTTGCTTTCTCTTTGCAACACTAAATCATCGAATAACATTTTAAATGGTACAAAGGATATCAGTGTTCGATTGGTACAATTCATTTCACCCCGTCGTTACTCAAATGACGACTTGAAACTTGCTATACCAATAGCAAAAAAGGCATGATGCATTCGACCAACTGAGGTTTATTGGTGGTTTCTTGAACGATCCCGTTTCAATCAACAAAACAAAAATATACTACCAAGGACTTTCAATGAGCTTTTAGTATAGGCAACAGTAGTTTACCGATGTTCAAATCTCATTAATCGATTAAGAAGACAACTCAAGGTTACAAACAAAAACTGAGGAAATCGAATAAACTCAAAAAGGAGCGAGACCGGTAGCGTAGACAGGGTAAGCGTGATCTACTTATAGATAAGTTTTTAATCGTATATTTAGCATTTCTGCATATGCTTACCATAACTGATGCTTAGTCGAAAGACTGATATCTCCAGTATGTGTTCATACTCCTAAAACGAGAACAGTATTAATCAATTAGTACATTTTGTTATGCTATTATTTTATATTGAAAAATATTACTTAGATGATTATGTTATTACAGTAACAATTATAAAAAAAGCAAAGGCAATTAGGTGGTACAATGTACAATAGTTTTGTTTTTTTATTATCAAGTTTTAATGAATAATAACAAACAATGTATATTTTGGTTTTCCTTGAATGAAATTTCACAATCTTGGTCATTTTTTTTGTAAAACATCTCAAATATAATCTTCCTTTGAATAAGGTGTTCATAATTCACTGGGAAATCAAACTTACACAACAACGAAACTTACTAATGTGGAAATGGGTTGGTTTGATGTTCCGTTGGGATTTCAACCAACCAAAGATGAAGAATTGGATATTCCGTCACTAACGAGTACCCAAAATGATGCAAGTATCCTTACAAATAACTTTACATTACTGGTTCTGCCAAATGCTACCCAAACATCTTTCCAAATTTTTAACATCTAGTTTATTAACAATCAAAACGGTGTTTCGGAGTTTCTGTGAGACTACCTGCTCTAGGAGCGGTGTAAATCAGATGTTGAAAAGATCTGTCACAATCCAAGTCCCTCTCCTAGTGCAAAAAAGAGGGAGACGATTGCTAGGGGTCAATAGAAAATCACCATTCTAATAAAAACAGATCATACTATGGCAAAAAACGACAAAATGACAACTAATAATATCAGAACATCACATAGAAAACTGAAGACTGGGCAACACAAACCGGGAGTGAACTCAGGTGCTCCGGCAATAAGTCGGTTTCAGTAATGTCACAATTTCGAAGATGAGGACCGGATTGTTGTTACAAAAGTGGAACATATCCGTAGTCATTTGTGACATAGATTTTCCATAACGGTGTAGATAGTTAAAAAATATACCTTTCCTCAAAGGTAACAAAATAACAATTATTATTCATTCTAAATTTAAAAACAGATTAAAAAAATTTGTCCAAATTTATTCCATAAAAATAAACGTCAAACAGCTTATTTTAGAAGGGACAGATAGTTCTTTGTAAAACAAAAACCCTCTGATTCAAACAAACTAATCCCTGAAAATGACATCATCAAGATGCTGGATTTTTAAATTGACACATATTGTCATAATGACGTGCTTTTAGAAAGACATCAGCATTTCTTTGCAAACAAACTTAGCCTATCTGCTTGCTGACTTATTTTCATATCAGGGAAACTTCATACAGGAGCTTCTAATAAAAATGAAAGAAAAGCTGGCATTAATTTAAATTCATGTTCCATAACACAGATATATCCTTACACTGAATAATTGGTGATTGTGTTGAATGTATCTATCCAAATACTATAGGAGGAGTTCATTTAACAAAAAAAAAACTTTCTTTTGAACAATTTGCTGAAAAAATGTTCTAACTCCTGGAAAAATTAAGATCTTCCTTAAACAATTCCATAAAAGCAGGTAAATAACTTCAATAGGTGTGCAATTGTTCTGTGAAATATCAAAGGTCTGTGTTAAAAACTGTAGGAGCAACGTATTACACAAATAGGTACCTTTTTTTCTGAAAAAATAACCAAGTTCCTGAGTGAAGAAAATCCTCAAACTATTTTATATTAGCAGGTGCATATTTTTTGTAGGCAATCTTTGTGAAGTTTCATGTATCTAGGTTGAAAATTGCAGGAGGGGTTAATTACACAAACTAGTAGTCTTTTGCTGCGAAATTACTAAGTACCTATTTTTTTTAAAAAGAAGGGAATTTTTCAAACAATTCCGTAATATAATAAGGTGAACGACTTTCATACGTGTCCAATTTTTCTGTTGTGTGTTACCGAATTCGTTTGAAAACTGTAAGAGGAGTTGATTATTATAAACAGATGCCAATTGTTACACACATCTGCCTAATCCAACGAACCCGGCAACACTAAAAATTCGCCATATTATAAACACTTCGTGCAAACTCCAAAAATATAAACCCAACATTTGTTGCTGCACCTGCTATTGTTCCAGTCATTTTTCTATACCACCTAATATTGCTTAACAAAAGACGTAGGTAAAGAAAAAACATTCGCAATTGTAATTGTAAATTGAAATAAAAAATAAAGAACAATACCAGATTTCAAAAGTCAGCATTTCTTTTACTTCCTACGATCATTAGATTGTCATAAAATGCACACACACTGATTTGTGTCGTTTTCACTCAGACATAAAATTTGATATTTTTTTTAATGGGGGAGGGCATACACAAACATAGCATTCCATGGATACGATGTTTAAGTACAGTGATTTGAGATTATATATTGCCAAACTCTTTCAAAAACTATTTCGGGAAAAAAAATGTTCGACAGTTTCAAGATATAAGCAACAATCAGTTAAATACTCTCGTTAAATAATTCTATTAAACAGAAGCTGTGTTTTATGTTGTAAAAATTAAAAAAAAATACATGGAAATATTTCTTCTATTATCATGAGTGTAGTATCGTTTATAATTTTTCATATATCATTTTTTTAATAAAGGCTTTGTCAACTTTATGTTGCATCAATACTTAACATCTTTATTGAAACTTCATTCTTTTTTCCTAAATAAAATATGTTAGTACTTTCTTTTTGATTAATTGGTTTTCAAAAGAATAAAATTGGTAACTGAAGTTTTATACTCAAATTATATAGAACTATTCGGAATAAAAAACATTTTTATTATCACATAAAAAGTTGTGTATTGACTTAAATCTAAATATGCATTACATACAGATCTCAATTACATATACATGCAAACATTCAACAACATAAATTAAACTAGTTTTCATTATCATTGTGACTAAGATGATTACAAAGTATTGTATTTAACACATGCTGTTGTATATATGTTCTTTTAACCAGTGTTCTAGTCTATCCGAAATCAATTTATTATACATTGAATACATATGAAAACAATACTTGATTCAATAACGTCATACAAAGTTCATGCTGAACAAACTACTAACAAAAATGTCTTCAGGGTTCTATATTCATATCATTCAAGAAAAAAGACTGAAAGATTTCAAATATCCAAATCATAATTTCAAACGGCTTTAAAGAAATGAAATTGATTCACAAATAATTCATAATATATGATTCAAGCAGAAAGGTGAAAAAATCTTGAAATAATAGAAATGATAGAGAACGGCAAACAACAGTCATTTAACAATAACCTTTCATCATTTTTTTTCTTGAAAGTAAGCCGACGGGAAATGCGAGTAGAACGAATTCTCTGGAGGAAATGGCGTGCTAAGAACATGACGTGCGACACACCACTGAAACAATGGGTTACGTTACCAGGATGTGACGTAGTGAGTGCCGCAGTTAGTGGCATGTCATTTGAGTTGTGTCGTAGGAGAGGTGAAGAGTGTGCAGAAGACACGTCTGTGGAGTCAGAGGCAGAAAGACCTACAGAGAGGAAGTAAATGTATGCTTTGTACAGTTTGTACAGTAAGCCTAATTTTACAATAAGTTACAGATAATACATATAAATGCAGTGCATAGTTTCAATAATAAAGCTGACATAAAATATCATATATTAGTGTGTAGAATTCATTCTAGATAAAACTATGATGTTATGTATACTACTTACTGTTTAATTCTTAATTATTATTTTTAAAGATTTATTTAATAATTTGGAAAAACAAACATTCATAATTTGCATGAATTAATTCTAATTTCATTAATTTACATATACAGACCATGACAAATAGATTTCCTAGTTCTCGGATACCGTCGAGATATCAAAATAAAATCACCTCTGCCTTGTATGTTTCCTATTATTCATATATGCCACACAAAAATACAATCAACTTGTAATAAATCCGCCTTGTTGATATATTACAGCTGGAAACTGATCAAAGAACGACAAATCCAACGGAGTTTAAATACTCAATTTTATTGCGCTATTTGATGTAGTTTTACATGGTAAATTTCAGTTTTCCAGGAATATATTTGTCCTTGTTGGTCGTCAAATACATTTCACTAATGCATACAAAGGACGTATTAAAAGGGATAACGACAGCTTGCGAGAACTTCCAGATATACCCAAAATAGAATCTATTGAACAACGATAAAGTCCGTGTCAGAAAAGACTAAATTGAAATTTGACATATTCTTTAAAGTATCTAACATCTGCGATTTGTTTGTAAATTCCACTGTTTGTCTTTTTTCTCTTGTTCCTTTTATCCATGGTGTTGCATGTCCGTCTTTAATTTATACGATTTTGTGGCTCTTTTTATTATCTCCTTATTTTTAATAAATAAAAGTACACAATGGTATACAAATACCAGACGACGTTAACAGTTACCTCTTCCCTCATCAGTTATTAGAAGTCAGTATCAGGGAACCAGAAAATATATTTAACATGACCTAAATACAGCAAGATGATGTTGAACGTAACATGAAATATGACATAAGCTAAGCATTAAGCCAAGGGATTTAAGCATTTAAGCAACTTGTGCACTATATACATACGATCCGTATCAGTCAGTGTCCCTAACGAACGTCTACGTCGTCCCATTCCTTCACTTTTGCTTGTCGGGAGCTTGAAAAAAAAATATTTATTACTTTAGTACAATTTGTTACATTGTCACGTGTCTTCATCAATTGTTGTTTTTTTGTCATGATTATATGTCTTTTCTCATTTAATTTCGTAAAGAATCGTTATAATTGTTATACAAATATAATTATTATTATATAATTAAAATTTGCAGTGTTACATTTACTTTGTATTATAAGCGCAAATTAATTATGCGTTAAATATCTTATTCTAAGAAAGTGATAGAGTCTTTTTCTATTACTCATCTAGCTCTCGAAATGAATAATGACATTCTTGTAAAATTTTTGAAAGCTCATTATTTAAGTGAATGTTAACGTCTAAATAGTCCAAATTAATATACTGATAAACCTTCTTACCTTCTGACGATTTGGTTTGGGTGATCCCTGAGAGTTACAATACAGGTTTGGTGATGCACACAGTTTCATGTCTGATGCACCACGTATGTCAGCTGGTAATAGTGTAGGCTTGGGTAATTCTACACCTGTTGTGACGTCATGTTCTCGTAAAAGATACCAATGTGGCATATTATCCATCACACCATTGACTAAAATTAAAGGTAATTATACGATGCTTTTATTATCTGTTTGTAGTGCTTAACAATTTTTTTTTCAGAATTTGAAGGACTCATGTGTAATTGTAACATAAAATATGATTTTATATTTTTGTTTCTAAATCTTGTTCCTTCAAGCATTGTTTTACCTAGTTTTCATAAATACATAGATATTGTTAAAACGTACTTTGTTCAAAAAAATTAAAATGAAATAAAGCAACACTTATCCAACAAATGAATTATAATTTTTCGTTAAAAAATTGTTTCAAATGTGTAGAAAAATCAAATATTTAATACAACACATACCCGACAAATCAATGATAACTTCTCCAAGGAAATCATTCGTTTTAAATCTGTCATAATCCCAGACTGTTATTTCTAACATTTTATTCTGAAGTTCCTCTCGATGTAAATCTTGAAACATTACTGTTTGATGCCACTGGGGATTCAAAGTTCGTGATATATGTTTCGATCTTCTCTTATTTTCCAGACTACAAAATATTTATTTCGTCAGTGGTATTTGAAAAATCAAAGATACAAACGACAGTTTTTCCTATATATCTTTTTTTTTTAAATATAAATCTAGTTGGTAATGATTATTTATGAAAGATGTCAATATAAAATTCATGAAATATACATTCGTTACATTAAATTTTGTCTTTGGCAATTTATAAATTTACTTTAACAACTATTGTAAGTAGTCTTGTAAATCAACTAAAATATGCTTAATTATAATACTCATAAGGTATTCTTCGTAGATATTCCACATTTAGTAAAAAGTAAAATCACAAAAATACCGAACTCCGAGGAAGATTCAAAACGGAAAGTCCATTATCAAATGGCAAAATCAAAAGCTCAAACACATCAAACGAATGGATAACAACTGTCATATTCCTGACTTGGTACAGGCATTTTCTTATGTAGAAAATGGTGGATCAAACCTGGTTTTATAGCTAGCTAAACCTCTCACTTATATGACAGTCTTCTTTTCCGAATAACAAAACGGGAAAAGAAAGGAATGTTATTTACCATCTGCCTGGAAGTAAATATATCTTGACAAAAGGTTGTTATTTACTATCTGCCTGGAAGTAAGTATATTTTGGCAAAAGAATGTTATTTACCATCTGCCTGGAAGTAAGTATATCTTGACAAAAGAATATTATTTACTATCTGCCTGGAAGTTAGTATATTTTGACAAAAGAATGTTATTTACCATCTGCCTGGAAGAAAGTATATTTTGACAAAAGAATGTTATTTACTATCTGCCTGGCAGTAAGTATATCTTGACAAAAGAATGTTATTTACTATCTGCCTGGAAGTAAGTATATCTTGACAAAAGAATGTTGTTTACCATCTGCCTTGAAGTAAGTATATCTTGACAAAAGAATGTTATTTACCATCTGCCAGGAAGTAAGTATATTTTGACAAAAGAATGTTATTTACCATCTGTCTGGAAGTAAGTATATTTTGACAAAAGAATGTTATTTACCATCTGCCTAGAAGTAAGTATATCTTGACAAAAGAATGTTATTTACCATCTGCCTGGAAGTAAGTATATCTTGACAAAAGAATGTTATTTACCATCTGCCAGGAAGTTAGTTTATTTTGACAAAAGAATGTTATTTACCATCTGCCTGGAATTAAGTATATTTTGACAAAAGAATGTTATTTACCATCTGCCTGGAAGTAAGTATATTTTGACAAAAGAATGTTATTTACCATCTGCCTGGAAGTAAGTTTTTTTTGACAAAAGAATGTTATTTACCATCTGCCTGGAAGTAAGTATATCTTGACAAAAGGGTCAGATAATCCATTAATATCTTTTGGCATCAGGTTTCTGGCTTGTATCAAGTGAACATTTAGAGTGTTGTCATAATCATCATGACTCAGTTGTAACTGAAATTTAAATTAATCAATCTGGAAGCAATGTATATACCAATTTAATAATAATAATGAGGATAAAAATTACCAGCAGTAGAGGGGAAATCTGAACAATCAATGATACTTGGCATAAAGAATACATTTTTGAAGAATTAAAAATTTCCTGTTAGTTATCAAAACAATAATACTTTTTTTGCATGACTGTCTGTATATAATTCTTACCTGTATTTCTCCCATGGTTCCACACACATTTTGAATACCCTAGAAATATGTAAAAATTTCCCAAAATAAATCTAAATCTAAATCAAAGGAAACAAACGCGCATCCCTATCTTCAGCCTTTTCACAATTCAAAATTAAATGATCTAAACACAAAAATAATTCAATCTGTATGGCATTTTGGTCACCTTAGTAGAGAACAATCTATAAAAAAGCAACGTTTTGGTTTGCTTAATACAATCTACTACTCATATTCATAATTTCGAAAATTTGGTCACTTTAATTGATTATAAAACAAGATTGTCTTATGTATTCCAGAATTGACTATTTGATAGCTGACATTCAAATGATACATAGAACCACATTCCTGTGGTTTTCCAGATTGTTCGTTTGATTTAATTAACTGTAAGAGAACTGATCTGGTTTAAAGAGCTCGTTAATATTCGTGACGATGACAATTACTAGCTTAAAGAAAACATGATATTCGTTTTTTATTTGTTTACAATTTTTTCAAATAACATTTTTACGAATATTGTCTTTTCATTTTCATTTGTTAACTAATTTCTGAGTCAAAACGAACAACCGCCATCAAATTAAAAAGGTCATCTCTGACGTAGATAATCTTCTCCCGAAACAGTAAATCTTTCACACCGATTTCTGTATTTTCCTTTCTTGCATGTTTCGCGTTGTTTCATTTCAATGTCACGGTAAACATTGACTTCATACGATATGCATTACAAACCACAACTTGGATTATCATTAATTTTAAGAAAACTGTAGATAATAAAATAAATATTATAGGCAAAGGGGGTAATGAAATAATTGCTATAGGCTAATGGGAAAGTTTGTGTGAACTTAACACTGGTTTTACAATACTGGAGGACATTTCGTCCCCAGGGGTATCATCAGCCAAATAGCCCGCACTTTGTGTTGATATGAAATATCATTAATAATGTATTTATCTGTAAATTTTCTGTTATAAAACTTTGAATTATTCGAAACACTACGGTTTTCTACTCCAAGGTATAATTGGATAGCCTTAATTGTATTTGGTACAACATTTTTGGATTTTGGAATTATCATGCATTTCAATTTCGTGTTTCATTTTTGCCTTCCGGGGCCTCTGTGGCCGAGTGGTCTAAGTAGTCGAACTACTGTATCACTAACCAGTCAACACTGAGGTTGTGAGTTCGAATTCCGCATGGGGCAGGTGCACTCGACTCCAATCTTAATTGACTAGGGTTGTCAGTTTTCCTACCGAAGGTCGGTGGTTCTCTCCGGGCACTCCGGCTTCCTCCACCAATAAAAACTGACCGCCACGAAATAGCACAATAGTGTTGAAAGTGGCGTTAAACACCAATCAATCAATCAATCAATCAATCATTTTTGCCTTCCACCTTTTTTTTTTATCAACGTCACTGATGAGTCGTATTCGTCCGGCGTAACAAACTATAAGCCTGGTATGTTTGAATTGTTTTCAACCTCACCACATTTTTTACTTGTCAGGCTATTTAGACCATGTATTGTCAATTGCTCTTTGTCTTTGTTTGTATGTATGTTTTTGTTTGAGGAGTTGTTTGTTGATGGTTGAGACGGTTTGCTGTACTTGTCGGTATTTTTTGCGATTTATTTTTTTTTTCCTTTTTATGTATCATATAGTTGTACATGCCTTTTCTGCATTTGTATTTGCCTTTGCATCTTTCATTTCTTTCTTTATTTCCCTCAAATCCTTTGATCTATTTCTATCAGATGAAGTAGATGTTTGTGATGAATTTGAAGGCGACGAAAGGCTTGGGGTGACGTATTCGTCATGTTGAGATGATGACTGAGATTCTGGTTGAGATCCAGCTAATGACTCGCCCTCTCTTATACCTTCTAACTGTGCTGCCAACTGTTTTGGATCAACTCCTTGGTTTGACTTAAGACATTTTTCTGATACAAAATTAAATCACATCAGTACATTTTGATCATAGATTAAGCTTTTTACCTTTAAATACATATTCTCCAATTTAAAGGTTACATTCTTTTTTTTCATATTGATATATAACGAAACAAACGAAAAAAATCTATATAATACTTTTTATCAATTGATAGTTCTCTTGTTAAAAGGGAAAACATTTTTTGTCTAAGTAATTGGAAAGAATTAGAATCTTTCTGAAGTACAAAATTCCAGTAGTATTGCAAATAAATATTACAAACGTTAATTTACCGTAAACTTCATCTGCAACATATTCCATGTTGTCATATGCTGCATTACGACCTCCTTTAGATTTGTCAATTGATTTGGCATGATGAGCAGATCTAAAAAATAAATTACAACTACTTTCTTCATTTTCACATTATTATTATTTTCAAAAATGACAACCTATTATATTAAGCAAAGTATACTTGATTGGAAAATTCATCGCGACGGTCTGAATACGCATACATGGTGTGTCAATGAGAGATCTATCAAACAAACCAATGCAATTAGGTCAATATTAGATATTGGTCTTTATCACATACCAAGCTTTTATAACATTAACGGTACCCATTGTACTGCACCAGATGCGCATCTAAGTTGCAAATTATGTTTGTTTCCATTACATATATTTTTGACATTTCCTTGTCATACATTGTGTAATAGCAAAATATCTACCATAACGAATATTAGTTTCAATTTATTTAAAACCGTGTATTATATGTCTCAAAATCCAATTTAAATCCTACATGTACTTGAAAATGAAATACTTACGGTTTCACAACAAGTTCTATCTCTACATTTGGAGTATTGATAATTCTTTGTACGTCCTCGTATGTCTTGTTGGATAATTCAATACCATTCCATTCAAGGATTTGATCACCTAATATAAGACAGAACAAGCAAGCATTATGGATTTTTAAAATAAGTTATTTAAAAATAGAACAATATCTGAATTTGAAAATACTGAATAAGTCTTATCATCAAATATAATATAATTTGCCTTCCATTGAGAAAACTAAATCTAAACACCCACGACATGTCAGTAGTTTAAATATTGGAAAGATGGCTTATTGAATGCGATGTAGCAGAAGAATATGTCTCCTTAAATGACTTATCGAAGGCAAATTTGAATTCTTTTCTGTAGGTTTCCAAAACTTGTTTCTGTTTATAAGGCATGTTAAGCTATATGAAACGTCATTATCAAATCTTTGCTTTTGTTGTGTTTGTCTTTTTTCAATTTTGTGTGCATCTAATCAATAAGATATATATTATAGATTTGGCTAGTTTTAACAATTTACAATATTAAACATGTGTTGAGATAACTTAAATGTTTACCTTCTTTGAGTTCTCCGTGCAGTTGGTCAGCAACCCCACCAGGAAAAATTGCGGTAACAAAAGCACCAGATTCAGTCGTTCCTTTGACTGTTTTGCCACCCACTATTTTCATCCCTATACCATTACCAGCTTTAAAAGATGGAATAAGGAAGACGCTAATGAGATTCATTGCTTATTCAAGTGTTCTGCTTTCTTGTCTAGAGACAGGATACTTTGTAAATCTTTGAAATCTCTTTGATAAGACACGTTCAATTATTTGTTAAATTTAAAACATAAATATATTTGTTGAAAGTAAAAACCACTCTGAATTATAGTTTTATTATATAAATACAAATATTAAAAATTTATTTGCAATATTAATGGAGCATATTGATGTAATATGAAAATGTTATTGACCACATGAAAACGTCAAATATACCATTACATTGCCAGGTAAATCTTACAACAACAAAAATATTACACGAAAGGTGTGTACGTTAACAAAGAACATTTTATAAAAAAGGGTTTTATTGTTTTTCTTCATCCACAAATATCCTATTCGAAGGTCTAGATGAGGGAAGGGGTCTTCATTTTTGTATTCTTTAACAGTTTTAGCCACCATTTTTCTTTACTCAATATTTTTTGGCCCAACATTCTCTATACCTTATATTTTAGCAACCGATTATTTTTTATTCTTTTTTTTTTTTGCCTATTTTCCTATATTTTGTATTCGAACCTCATCCATGTCGTTTAAATGAAGATACGTTTTTATTATATAATCGTTTGCGAATTAACATGCCTCAAAGTTCAATATATATCGTTGTCCGTCCGAAATGCTTAAATCTAAATATCGAATGAAAAGAGATAAATAAAAATGCTTTTAATTGTTTTTATTCAGATTGAAATACCTTTAATTGATTTATCCTTCGGATCACGCGTCAGCAGTATCCTTTTTATTCCAAGGTCATACTTTCTCCTTGGTGCTGGCGCAGGCTGCAAAATATAGTCAATTTAACGTCTTCACTTTATTATTTTTTTTCAAAACAACACTCAGGTACTGCTAGTCATAAATTAGTTAATTAATGTTTTGTTTCAAGCAATCCATGCATTTCTTTTATATGTGTATTCATATTTTGTTAAATCCCCAAAATAAGAATACTGCAATGCATTTTCAACTGCCTTGTCTTCACCTTAAACAAATCTCAAAATAAAATATTGTCCGAGAATCGGTCAGAAATGGATGGGGGAAAATGCCTCGGTCGCTTTTTCAAACCTTGTGATTAAATTAATCAGTGGCTACCATGACATCTATCAATGGATTAAAGTATTGAAAAATAGAACAAGTAAGTGTCATCTGTATCAGTTAACTGGCCAGTAATTTGTAGAGATATTTTAAAAGATGGTATATCATATCTCTTTGCGACTGAATAGTGAGTCATTAATTTGTGAATCAATTTTACGACGATCTTAACAAATTATAGGTCGAATGACCGGGAAGGAAATAAACACGTCAAATGGAGACTTTTTACACTCGCTCGTACGGATTATTTCATTAATACATTAATACATTGTAATATTTAGTACATGAGTCACGATGGGACAAACACTTTGATAATATGAGTTCGATCTTATTAACAGCAATTAAAACACGATCAGGTATAAATGTACAAATTGAAACTACTACTTACAATATTCCTATAATGGATATATTTCAATACGTAGGTTTTGATAATCATGTTAGTGTTAAAACGTTACCTGTTTCTTTCTGTCTTTTTGTTTCAATATTGTAACACCACCTTCAAGCTTGTGTTTCATCAACGGTTCATCAGCATCAACACTGTTGTCGCTTTCAACACGGTGCATACCATTTAACAGGTCTAAACAAAGAGATCCAGCTATATAGCTATTCATGATATACCTTATATTGCTACGCTTTGGATAATAGACATCTCTAATACAATATGTGTTTTCTTACTCTATTTTAAGTATATATTTATTACAGTTGCTTAGATCATCCTAATTGAAAGCATCATGACTGCATAACATAATTTATTATGCCATTTCAACATTACGAACGTTTTATTTAGAAAAAATCAAGGAGGCTGAATCAATATCCATGTTCAAATATTAGAGATATTTACTTATTATTATTATTATTATTATTATTATTAATAAAAAATGTTTTGCTCATAGCAGTTTCTTACCATCACTAGTGATATTATACTCTGCTGAAACAGGTCGACTACCAGTGCCTATTTCATGAATTATCTTCCGCGAACGTGCCTTGACGTCGTCAAGAAGAGGCATTGCAGGTGTAGAATCACTAGGTGGGCTAGCTTCAGTATCGGAAAAAGCACCACCCGTTGCAGATACATATTCTGCTTGTTTCGTATGAAGTTCGGGTAAAGTAACACTACTGTGCATGCTAAGGTCATTCCCATGATGAGGCCGTAAATAAAAATCAACTTTTTGTTTACCAGGCCTTACTTCTTTTTTATCTTCAACATTTCCTTGATATATATACGGACTTGAATGTGCACTAAGATCTGGTCCTCGACTTCGCTTGGTCCGTTCTTGTTTGTGAGCCAGATATTCTGATGAACTATAACTGGTTTCTGTTTCCCAGCGTCCTTGTTGAGAATCTTTATCTTCATCTGAATCATCATCATCCAAAGGTTTTATGATACCCGTAGGGATTGGTCGCATAATTGCATACATATTTGTAGACTTTTTGGGAATATCGTCATAACTATGAGCCATCACTTGACCGCTACGCGTTAACTGGAAAAGTTCATTTTGAAGCTTACTTGTCTCTTCTAATTGCCTTTTACGTCGTTCAATTTCGTTTTGAAGTTGTAATTTTCTTTGTTCTCTAGCTTTTCTTTCCTCGTCATCGGACAAGTCTAAAAGAGCAGGTTTGTTTTGAACACGTTCTGGAATGTGAGTTTCGGAATGACTTTTTGGTTTCATATCTGGTCGTAATACTTTTGAATAAACATTCCGTCCCTGAAATTTTGTACTTTCTTTAGGTTGCACAGACATTTTTGTATGAATAGGTATTGTTTGTTGTCTAACATCCATTATCGGTTCCGATCGCGTGCTATCCGTGTCACTCAATCCAGAAAGGCTACTGTCATCTGCTACAAGTCTAAATAGAGATGTCTCTTTGTGATCCTTGCCTTTGATTTGCATATCTCCCTCAATATCTTTGTCCTCTTTAATGGGTGAAAATTTCGAAATCATAGGATCAGAAGATTGCCGTTTATGCCTAGATTTACGTGGAGCTACTTGCGGTGACGTAGGAACACGTTTTTTACCATTTTGATTTGTTGGTTGCTTACTTGTTTTTGGTGAAAGAGTTCTTTTTGCTTGTAATTTAGCATATTCCCTGCTAAGCTTTAATTCTCCTATTTGCATTTGTAATGCACGTATCTCCTCAAGTTCTTCAATTCTTGTACGTCTCCCTTCCGTTACACGTCTCAGTTCATCCTGTAATCTTCTTTTCAACGATTTCATAGCTTGTGTAATTGGAGCTCCATAAATATTAATCATTGAATCAATAATTGCATCTGTTTCGTCTTTATCCTTTAAATATTGGTCAATATTTCTCTCGACATTTGTAACTTTCTCGCCAGCACAGGCAATAGCTGGAATATTCGCTTTAATATCTTCATTATACAATTCTTTGATATTTTTATCACTGTATGATACCTCAGATGGAAGATAATTTCCGTTCCATTTGTCAAGAGTAGGTTTGTCTAAGTTATTCATATTCTTACGATGTCTTGTAAACATGGCAACTTCTATGTCGTCTTCATTCATAGATTCATCGCTCGTGGATGAAGGAGTTGCATAACCTCTAGGTTTTCTTTTGTGATCTTGTTTTAAATGCTGCTTTTTATGAACATTATTTTGGCCTTTCGTTCTACTAGGTATTTCCTCTGTCAAAGGAATAGGTGGTAGCTTTCGTCTTCCTTTCTTTTGTTCTGTGGCTGAAATCTGTAAAATAATTAGAAAATGTTCGTATTATTTTTATGCAATCAATCCAAGAATTACAGACCAATTCTGCTGTTCGGTGTGAGCCAAGGCTCCGTGTTGAAGGCCGTACTTTGACCTATTAAGGTTTACTTTTACAAATTGTGACTTGGATGGAGAGTTGTCTCATTGGCACTCATACCACATCTTCTTATAATTATCCAAAGCTTCATTTGAAACACAATTTGTAATAGTGTATCTTTGAAAAAAAAGCAATGCTTAATTGTGAACTTTCCATTTCATCCTTACACACTGTTTTCAATGCATTCTTTCTGTATAAAGAGGTTATAAGTACATGTCCTGCATTTGTTCGACCTTTATAAACGTAGTCGACTTCGTCGCTATGCAAACTAAAGCTATTAATATTACTAATGAAGATAATATTCAGATGATTTGAAGAAGTAAAACTAACTTACATCAGAATTGTCCTAAGGTAAAAACACACTTTCACAAATATATCTAAGTGTGTATATCAAGAAACGAAGTTATGGTGTGAACAAAAACTACCCATTAGTCTAAGCTGCCTGATAAAAAACATCAAATTTATGACAAGCTCAAAACTGCTCTGAAACTATTCGCAACGCATTCGTACACAACAATATCAAACTAAAAACAATACAAAACTATTTACGAGAATCCTTGGACAAATGACTGGATTGCCAGAATTCAAACCTTTCGACATCATATCGATCATTAGATAAAAATTAGTATATCGATTTTAACTTTCAATTTTTCTGTGAATTTACTGTTTATAAGATGATTATTTATTCGAAACACTTAAGGTATTTCAAACCCCAGCCAAAGTATGCCTTAGACAGATTTGGAGAAACATTTTAGGATTTTTGAATTTTAATGCTTCAACTTCGTATTTGATTTGGTATTCAAACTGTTTTGATTCAAGCGCCAGTGCAAAGTTTTGTGCAGTCGGGCGCACTAAATTATAAGCCTGGTAAGTTAGATGAAACGTTATAGAGAGTAAAAAATACAGCTTAATAAAGGTAATACTGTTCTTATTAGACTTTCACAGATGATATTAAAAACGATCGTTTGGAGGTAAAAAGGGTGAGTTGTGGTCAAAGCACAAAGAGATTTTTGTGTGATTTTTTTCGGAATCTCGCGGTATTATTTTAAACCTGTTAAACAACTGTTACAAATTATCATGAAGAATAAGAAATAAACTGTACATAGCAGGCAATTAAACGTGTAAGTTGAAAAGAGAGACAACTCATGCTCAGAGGATAAAATGAGAATCAATAGTCTACAAGTCATTACACACAAAACTAAAGACAGATCTACTCGAACCCAAAACGATTCCGGGGGTTGATTTAAATGCTCAAGTTAAGAGAGCTACCATTTGATTTTTATGGGGGGGGGGGGGGGGGGGTTGCTAGGATGAAATTTGAAAAAAAAGGCAGGACAGGAGTTTTGAGTAAAAAAAAGGGAGGATGAGCAACTTGGCAAAAAAAAAGGAAGGATGACAATTTATGTAAAAAAAGTCAGGATAAACAAATAAAAAAAAGGCAGGACCGAATAGAGTGAAAAATAGAAAGGCAGGACAGAGATTACAACTAAAAAAAATGCCCCCCTTCCCCCATAAAAATTTCTTCGGATACCGTCTATATCTCATGTCAATGTAATCGGTTGTATTTCGTTATTAAAAATGAAGTGAAATAATGATTGATTTGTTGCTACACTATCTGGAACATAATAAAAACTTTGATTACGATGTTGGATCTACATTATTCAATTAGCCGATTTCCTGAAATATACATAAAACTCCTAAAATCAATAAGATCTCTCTATAATGCAAATGATATATTTTACAGTTTCACCACTGCCTTATACTAGGCACGAAGAAAAAAGATACATGATTGAAAAATAATAAAATACAGCTTATTATAATTTGTTTTACATTAATTAGCTATGAAAAATGCAACAACTACAAAAATACATCGAAAGGACGACACACGATAAACAAATTAGAAATGATAAATGCAAATATAATGAACAATTAAACCAATTTAGGAATTATTATTCCTATGTCTGTTAAACATATGGACCATACATGAAACTTTTTTTTTCAATTTTGTCTTTTAATAAATTAAACCAATGACTCATAAAAAAGAGAAAAATGCATCCCTACTGTGCATGTTGACAAATCCCTGACTAAGTACATAAAAAAGGCATGAATATGAATTACGTGACCATAGATGAAATTTGAATTTTTAAATTGAGAAAATTATACTTAGGAATAATTCATCGTATAACTGCATTTCAGTCGGAAATAACGCCATATTATTAAAATGTAAGCATGAGGTTTTTCGATGAAACTCAGTTACCTGGTAAATTACACTGAGTGTTTGAATAATTTTCGTATTACCTGTTCAAATGTTTTGACCTTATCTTTGACCTTTGTGTGTGAAACTTCTTTATGCCAATCTTTTACAGACGTGGGTGTGATTTTATTAATAATAAAATTGTCATCGTCAAAATCAGTTCCCGGTGATGAAGGTGAATGCGGTTTAGGTGGAGAAGAATCAGAGTCGGGAGGTGTTACGGGAGATGGATACATGTATAAATCCCTATCTGGAGACGAAGATGGCGAAACCGATGTACTGTCGGAATAATCACGCTTCAATGATGACCTAGATTCTGGACTCGGTGGTGAATCTAAAACTCTGTATTGGGGGGACACATTACACTCCTCAGCTTCAATATGCTGAATTAGTAAGGGATTAGGTTTGGCTTTAAGGTGTTTCGTTTTCAAACGCCTTTCCTCGGATTCTTGTCTCTGTAAGCTATTTTCCGAACTACGATCAGATATCTTGTTAATTTTATCGTCTGATTTTGTTGTATGTTTCATCCTCCTAGTCATATTATCTGATTTGTGCAAATCCAGCTTAGAAGTTGGTTTAAGTGGTTCAATTACATCGTCTACTGCCGATATATTTGGATTGAACTTATGAGATTCCAAAGAGTTTGACCGTTTTTCAACCATTTTTCTTACATCAACTGGTTGTTTATGATCTTTATTTTCTACTACGGTTGACACCTTTACCGGTTTGTTTGGTGCTTCATCAAGAGAAGATGATTTAGTAACTCTTGAATGAACACCAACTGCTTTTGTTACTGATGCTGTGTCAATAACTTTACTTTCCTCTATAGTTTTAGTATCAACAACTCTTTTCGGTGAGGATTTTGCTTTTATTGCATCAACTGGTAATGGGGGGAGGGGCTTTTTCTTCCGAGATTCTGACACCATCTCCGGTGTGGGTTCCGGCAATTTTCGTCTTTGCTTAGGAGTTGGTGACACATCTTGCTTTATCGGCACGTTTGTCGACATATGTGACACATTTTGCTTTATTGGCAGGTCCGTCGACATGTTTTGAGTAGGTTGAATGTATACATTTCGATAAGGATCTTTATTCTCGCTTGACATTTTAGAATCGACTAAAACACACGATACAGAAGGGGTCGATGTCACAACACTTCCTTGTTGAACAGTTGAATCTGTTCGTGAAACACATGAAAAAGGGATTTCAGAAATTTCTTCCTTCTTTTTCGCACCTTCATCTTTTTCACAACGCTCTAATTGATCGCCATTTATAACATTATTATTTTGCACTAGCTTACAGATATCTTCTACTCGTTCGTAACGTTTTAATCCATAATATGCCAAAGAATCGTCCTGTTCATTTATCGGTTTGAAATATTGTTTATCCGTTGTTTCATCCTCGTCTTCCTCTTGCGATTCCCTTCTCCTTCTTTCTTCTTCTTGTTTTTCTAACATATCTACTTGTTCAGCTTCTTCCACAGACGGTGAAACATCTAAAATTGGTGACAAATCGATAACGGGGGACCAGTCGGTAGATGGTGGTCTCGCCTTTTGTCGTCTGCTCCCTTGATAATCAATTGGTTTTGAAGCGGGATCAGCTAGCTCTATTGGTTCTTCTGGGATCACCGGATTATCGTAAATGCCAGGAGAAACTGGTGAAGAACTTCCATTACTGTCCTGTGAATCTGGAGACAATCGATAGTTATCTCCCATTGAATATGCATCCAAATTTGTAGGAGATATTGTCATTTGCGTTAAATTAGCAGTATCGTTTGCAATGGAAGCGGCAAAAGAAGCAAGATCCATTACTGCAGCTGACTGTGGAATGCCAATCTTTTCCCGGTGATTAGAAAATATAATTTCATCTCCACGCCTTGCAAAAATAAATTCATCATCACTACTATCAGTGATTAACTGATCTTCCGGTGAGTTTGAACCACTATCAGCAGAATATCCAGAACCAAAATACTCATTCTGTTTCAATTGAGTTAATGTTTTGTTTTGTTGCTCAAAGTTTGCAAATTGTCCAGGAGGAGGAGTAACTTCTGTAAAGTTGAACTGATTTTCTTTTGGGGAAGACGCTGGTGATGTCACGTTTCGTTTTTTTCCTGGATATGAATCCCTACGTCGTGGAGAAAATGGTGGACTATCTAGACCCTCTCTCCAACTCGGACTTCTTGGTGCATGTGGACTACATTTGTTATTGTCACTGTGAACTTCAGAGTCTGACTTTTCAGTGTGATTCCAACTTTCTTCGGATGATTCGCCTTTAAAGTCTCTCATTTCTTCTGCAAAGGCACTGGCCGCTAACGCAACACGAGCCTCGTCTAACGAAGCAAACGGTGCTAGCCTATTTTCAGTGTCCGTACTTAAAGCACTATCCGAGGTATCGTCATCTGATGACGTAGCACTCTGGGATTGGTTGAGATTTAAAGAAAGCGGACGATGTTTTCTGTAAAGTCTGCTGTCATCACTACTTCCGATGCTCATCATGGAATAATCATCACTGACATCATCTGTATCTACTCCGTCACCTTGGTAATATTGCATAGAAACATCCTCCATATCAACGTCTGACGTAATGTCTGATAATTCGGAATCACTCTGTGTTTTCTGTTTCATACCTGAAAAAGAGCAAAAAAACATTGAATATCTACATTACTAGATAAAATAATTACATTTTTTATCCTCGTATCGATATTGATTCTGACGTTGCCTATTGTATATGAAGCCATTATTTTAATGTTTGCGCTATTTTTAAATAATTTCAAAATATTTTTTTTATGATATTTTCAATAATTTTCTATGGTTGCGGAATACATGTCTCTCCCTTCTAAAAAAAAGTAACGATTCTAGGAGCTGAACTAAGTTCATATATTCAGTAAATACAGTCAGTATATAATAGAAGTATACCACCTAATATATAACCTTCTTTTGAAACTTGATGTATAAAATCAGTTTTCATTTTTTTGTGATGTGCGGTTGTTGCATCATTGACTTTTTTTCTGCATCGTAATTTATTCATTTATATTTTTAATAGACTTTTCTAAAGATGCTGATATCATTTGGGTTTGTTTTTTTTTTCATTCTTTTTTATATAATCTATTGCTTATATTCAATTTTATCTGACAAATATGCAATGACCGTTAAAAACATGGTACAGTATCTATGGTCAGTTTTGGTCTTAGTTGTCAATAATTGTCATTTTCGTATGGACAGGCGAATTCAAATTATTATTTTTTTTTTCATATCTAATCGGCTTCCATATCTTCATAATTTTTTTTTTCCAAAAAACATTTCTAATATATATATATATATATATATATATATATATATATTCACACAAGTCTAAATTGAAAACAACGTTCAAACCTATGATTGCGTTGGATAAAAACCGCAATTTTTATACGTGTGCATGCAAAACAAATTTCTTGGTAGAGGGGTCTAAATACAGCACAAACAACATTTTCCAAAAGACCAAATGAGTGAAAAAGTATATTTTAACAAAACGCATTTGACTAGCAGGTCGAACAACTGATTTTCTTAAACCCTGCTGACTGCCAATGGCGTATATATATATATATATCTTAGACTTTATGGCACAAGTGTTTTAAATACTAGAATTATACCTTTGACTTTATGACACTAGTGTTTTAAACACTAGAATTAACTACGCAGTTCTTTACAACGTCTAAAGCAAATCGATTAAAAAGAGAAAAATTGTGCATTTACAAGCATATTGATAAAAACTAAAATAAAGGATAAAATAATACTGCTAAATAGATCGTTAAAAGAAATATAACTTAACGAGCAATGTTCTATTTAAGAAATATGTTTTTCAAAGCAATTTTTGTCTTTATTTTCATCATATATATTTGTTTGTGAGGATCTGAGGACAAAGATTGGTGAATTGTAGTTTTCCTATAAAATTAATTCAAATTTATGAAGAACATGTATTTACTCAGTTAGGTGCGTTAAAATCAGTATCTTACATACTAGTATCCAATATAATTTTTTTTTCAGTAAATGTGGTATCCTATTGTTTATCAATAAAACGAGTTTGAAATAAAAGAAAAAGTTGTAATTCCAATGTTAAACTTATAATAAAGCTATATGAGCATATCATCAAAAAGAAAATGCATTTGAAATTAAACCAAACCGATAAGTGTTAACATTGAAAATGATGAAGAAAAGATAATCACCACAAGATCCTGCCATAGTCCGCAAAACACCTGAAAGTGAGTTTGATAATGCAATGTCCTTTGATGTCAAAATCGTGTTTTGAAGGGGGGTTCTATCACTTAACTATACAACAAGCCATATTAGATATATAAACAAAAAACATAAATTACAAGAAAAATAAGTGACCTTTAAAGTTTTTGTCGACGCGCGGGAGACGTTTTCTCTTTAGGTTTGAGCGTTCCTGGTGACGAAAAATCCAGAAAAGCTCTTCGGGTGCACGAGATTTGTAAAGTGTTGATTTCATTTACCAGCACTGGGTCGATACCGCTGCTTGTGGACTGTTAGTCCCCGGGGGGGGGGGGGGGGTATCATCAGCTCAGTAGTCAATACTTCGGTACTGACATGATTTATACCGTATACTAATTTAAAATTCCCAATTCATAAATTAAGAAATTATTATGAAACTAAGGTTCCAACTCCCTCGGACAAATTTGACCTTAGATGAATTCGGCTATTCTGTTTATGCCGTTTTGGGTAATAAAGCTCTTAACGTTGCATCGTATTTACGCATCACTGGCTGTCTAATGTTTTAAAAGTGTGAGCGTTCCTGATGAAGGTAAATCTAGAAATACCCTTCGAATTTTAGAAAGTGTTTATATCGTTTTCTGAAAGTTGTTGCGGTTTTTTTTTATATGAACATTAGCTCTATCTAAGTATCCCCTTTTAATTAAATGAATGCAAATTCTTCCAGAACATGCAAGTAACCATTACCGTTTTATTTTTGCATTTTCATTTCTTATATTTTCTCGAAAATTGCAGTCGCTTAAATTTTGACGTTTTAAAAATCTTTATGGATGAAAAAGAAAGAGAAGATCTAACTGTTGTTGTGTTATAACATGTAAATTATATAACCTAAGTGATTTACGTTATTTGCCATGTTAAAAGGTAGACTCGATTTACTAGTATGTGGTCGGTAGTTTATCCTTGGCACTGATCGTTATCAAATTATACGGTTGTATAGATTTTTCATTTTTTTCAAATAAACTCAAAATAACAAAAGTTTTTTCAACTTCTCAACTATTTCTGAAAATCGAATAGACATTTATACGTTTTTTTCTGTGTATTTTGTGTGATTGTTATTGTTTTTGTTTAGACTTTTTGTCGTCTTTTGGAAGTTTGTGCATCGTAAGTCTTTATTTATTTGGTTTGTTTCTAAATACACAGTTCTTTATATTCATCTTTAGAGTAGTATTCTTTGATTAACATTTGGACGTGTCTTATTTTTCACTTTTGAGATTAGAGTTAACTTCGCTGTACAATCTGTATTTAAACCGCTTTCAAAATTCGTTCATGTTGTCATTTGAAAAGTAAAGAATAATTATATAGTTAAACTCTTTAAAGTTTTAATATATGATTGACAATTACCTTTGATTCTGGAAGTACCTGACGAGGTAGATTGAACGTCACATGAGTCTGGACTGTCTAACGACGGTTGAGCTGAAGACTTGGTGTCTTTACGGGGAATATTTTCCTGACTGCCCTGATGGCTTTTTCCGGATTCTGCTATTGATCCGAGATGTTTTCCTGGATTTGTATGACTAACAATTGGATCTGGAAGTGATATTTGTCTTTTTAATTTTCTAAATCCTCTATGGTGTTCAGTGGGAGATACTTCAACTCGGTCTGCTGATATTGAACGCTCTAAAGGTGGCCTAGAATTCTGCAAAAAAAAAATATCAATTGATTACATAAACTCCTCAATAAATCAACGTTGACACTCAACCATGTGCTAGGATACTTTTCTTGAAATTTATTTTCATGTAATTAGATTATATTTCTGCCGCAAATATGACGAGTTACACTCGAAGAAGGCCAAAAACGAACAAGAAAACACATGATCTGAAATATCGTACAAACAGCCTTATGTTATACTCAATATGCAGATGCTGCTGGAATGTTGCTACTGAAATATGCAAAATTCATATTGAAAAAAAATTAACTCGTTCTGTTTGTCGCAAGGTTTAGTTCTGAATCGACCCTGATTGTCCATTTCTTTGTGTGTATGAAGGTACCTTTATTATTTTTTACTTGACTAATGTAGTCCGAACTTTGTTTTAAGTCTTGAATTAAGTTACCTGCGTAAAATTGATTTTACTATTCCATGCGAGGGAATTTGATTGTTTATAATCGAACAGATCTTTCAATTTTTTTTCAAAATCAACAACCCCCAAAGCAAACACTAAGTTAAAGTTAACTATATATCAACGAAAGGACATGTGGGATTTACATCGATGAGGAAGCAATAAAACGATACAAACACACAAAACATACCAAAAGGTCAACATATATAGATTCAGTTTTTGCAATTAACTAAAACAGTCATCTTGTATTTATATTGTGTCATAGATCAAATTTATTCGTTCAGTGTATGTTTACTTAATTGTTTTTGTTTATATGTCTTTTTGATCGAGGTAAGCCATTTCAATTGATATTTATAGTGTGTTTCTTTATGTTGTAATGTTACAATACTGTTTCAGGTTAGGGTGGAGGTTGGCGCCTGTTAAAACTTTTAAACCCGCTGAATTTGTATGCACCTGTCGTAAGTCAGGAGTCTGTTGTTCAGTGGTTGTTGTTTGTTTTGATGTCGTTCATAAATGTTTCTCGTTTCTCGTTTTTATATAGATTAATCCGTTGGTTTTCCTGTTTGAATGTTTTTTACACTAGTCATTTTGAGGCCATTTGTAGCTTGCTGTTCGTTGTGAGCCAATGCTCCTTGTTGAAGGACGTACTTTAACCTATAATTGTTTATTTTTAACACATTGTGACTTGGATGGAGAGTTTTCTCATTGACACTCATACCACATCTTCTTATTTATATCTGTTGATTTAAATAATCACAGGTAACTGAAACAAATGAAATGAAAGACACCATTTTTTATCAAATCCGTTGATGTAAACAACATGAAAGCTAGCCAATAAAATAAAAAATGTTCGAAACGATTTCTGTGGTATCAGGAAATAAAATTTCAAATACATGAATTTTGTGTATTTTTTAAATAAAATTATTATAAACCAAATACATATTTGATTGATTTCTTTGTATTAGTGTTTGTTCAGTTCAAACCTTGTACACCTAAAAAGTACTTTTCGATACTGACCGTAAACATTTCTAACCGGGATTGTATCTCTCTTTCTAGAGGGACGGTATCAGACACTTCAACACCAGGATGCCACAACCCTGTACTTAGCACCAGCATACGTCTTTTCTGACATACTGTACAAACCCACTCCTGTAGCTGAAGACAAAGACATTACAAATATTATAAAAAAAAGTATGTTAAGCCCTTTTCAACTTATTTTTATAGTTTGTTGTTGTACTGTTACATCACTGTCCCAGGTTAGGGGGAGGGTTGAGCGCTCACAAATATGTTTAACCCTGCCACATTCTTTATGTCCCAAGTCAGGAGACTGTAGTTCGGTGGTTGTCGTTGGTTCATGTATGTCACACTTTTTTTTCGTAAATTGTTTAGTTATAAATTAGGCCGTTAGTTTTCTCAATTGAATTGTTTCCTATTTTTCATGTCGGGGCCTTTTATAGCTGACTACACACTACACAGTATGGGTTTTTTCTCATTATTGAAGGCCACACAGAAGGTTGCCTATAATTGCTTACATCCACTTCATTGGAACTTTGTTGTATAGTTGTCTCATTGGCAATCACACCACATCTCCTTTTTTTATATGTGTATCGTCAAATTCATTCATTTTATTTTGATATAACAAGCAAATAATATATATTGATTTGTATAATAAATAGCGTTGGTCAATTAGATTTGTCTATATTGTTTTGGTACTCCAGACACTTGGGTCTATGTTTATATATTAGTAATTGTCTGCAAGTCAAATCTGAGCAAATGATAAATTCTGTGATGCGACTACATAAGACAATAAATTGTGAATTTCATTAGATAAGGGTGTCGTAATAAGTCAATCAAATAATTATTGTTGAAGTAAGCCATTTGCCTGAACAAATAAAGTAGTGCAGTACATATAAACTACTATAAATCAGAAAATTGCGATGGAATATGTTTCGCAAAAATTAAAAAGTCGCATTTTAAATTTCGATAGCACTATTTGTATTCAGCATTTATTCAACAATCATCGCAATCTAAATGCACGTAGAAATTTTTGAATTTACTGTATACAAAATGCAAATACTATACGAATATTGTGTATTGTTATCCTGATTTTTATCTTAAACGGTATGATGTGAAGATTTTCAAGTCGATATATAAGTACCAGCACAAGCAAAGTAATACATCCATTTTCAACAAAATAAATGGTAGTGTGTTTGTGTTAAATACTCTTCAAGTTATTCATAAAATATAACAAAAGCGGCATTATATCATAAGATACCGTGAATTCTGTTAAATTTAAAGTTATTTCAAATCGAAGGTCAGCATGAGCCCTAAGGAGAAGTTATGATAGAGGAAATATCACGAAAAAGTGCGGCCTAATACTTTTATTTGATAATGCTCTTTTAGAATAATGTTCATCGCAAATCGAACAAAATGTCCACTGCCTTAAATATGCACGGGAATGAAAGTACTGGGAGTTATTTATAACAATAGTAATGCATAATTGATTAAACCGACTTTTTCCTGCATTCCAAAGAGACAAATGGCAATGCTTGATAACATCTGATTGTGCCAGGAGTACTATCTAATAAATAAAATGGTTCTCGTTTTGTTGTTTTTTCACAAGCAGCAAATATGTATGTTTTAAATGAATCTGTGTTGATATTGTCCAGAATAGCTATGATATAAGTGAAACATATATATAAAGAAATTCTATATATAAAAATTCTGATATATTTTTAACAACTACGCATGTATTTTTTTATCAGAAAGGACAGTAAAATGAGAAATTGTGGAAAACTATCTGTTGAGGCTCAATACTAGATTTCTAAGAATAATTAATCAACGTAAAATCAAGAGAACTCCAGAATATATTAAATTAATACACGACTCATAAGGAAAATCAATTGTGCCCGGACTTCCACATCTGTAAACAGATAAACTTATTTTGAGCTGTATATATCTAATCTTTTCCTTAGACTTTGATACTTCTTAAGTAAATGTCGTAATTTCTACTCTATTTATCTTATGTAATAATTTCAAATTTTTAATCTGCATATTCTTTACCTTTGTGTTGAGTGAGCTTTCAAACTTTCCACATTCTGAGCAAGTCATATTTTGACAGTCTACACAAACATGTTGCCATTTTCTTGGATTTTTATCATCCAATTTAAGTTCATTTCTCAAGCAAACCGGACACAACATAATATCTGAAGCTTCTGGTTCCGCGGCTATTGTTAATTCTTCTACTGTCATGGCTGTATTCAGATAATCTTCCTCCAAATGTCTGCAATACACATCACTGTTGTATATTAAATAACATCTCAGATATAGGGGTTGGATCAATAATGCTGTTTTGAAACTAATTTTCTTTACATTTAGGAAAACACATTTAGCAAATAGAATTATAATTCTGATTATATGTTTTTCAATAAAATAATATTTGATACTAAATTGCAAGATCAAAACGTGAGGGACTAGGGTCTGTAGTGGATACAGTAAGTTGTAAACTGGCATCAAAATTTTATTGCATGTCTGGATTCCGAATTGTTGAAATATAAAACTTCTATATCAACCCTGTGATATATTAATACTATGTATGGATGTGTATTTTAAACAAAAATATTAACAATAGGCCTACATTTTAAATTTTCTGTTTTCCTATTGGCTAAACAACAGGACACGTGGTTTGTAACAAACTTTCATATCGCATGAAAATCAATACACGGTAAACAATGTAATTAACTTAAAGGCAACTATGAAAGAATAATAAATTTTTAATAATAATGGTTATTTATTATTATTCTATTTACTAGATATTTAATTATGTATGCCGATTTGTAAAGTTTTAAAAGATAAGAAAGTAAGTGATGCAGTACCTATTTTTGATTTAATCAATAAGCACTTCCGCGCAGGTAAAATGTGCCACAAATGTACGTATGATTAAAAATACGCATTTAGTTATAATATGAAAAAATAGATGTGGTATAGTTACAAAATAGTAACCTATACTTCAAGGACAAAATGACGTTAACGTGATTTTTACTTTTAATTAGGCATAGTATGCTGACATTAGTGGTCAAAAGAAACGGTATTTAAAAAATATTGGAAATCTTTAGATAAACGCTGTTAAAAAGGAATCTCATCGCAATAAAATAAAACGAGAAAAAGTAACTTCAGCGTGATAAAATGCAATTAAGTTGTACAACATTTGCAAAGAACCTGCATTAGTTTAGGAGCCAGCTGAAACCCGCCTCCGGGTGCGGGATTTTCTCGCTGTGTGGAAGACCCATTGGTGGCCGTCGGCTGTTTTCTGCTGTTTGGTCGGGTTGTTGTCTCTTTGACACATTCCCCATCTCCATTCTCAATTTTATTACTTGTTTTTATCAATATTTAGTGTTCTTCAGCAAGTTTGGAAAATAATACATAAAAGACGATAAAGGCTTTTTATAAATGATAAATTTTACTATTCAAACGTAGTTAAAAGAACTACAATTTGCACCTGTCCTAAGTCAGGAATCTGATGTTCAGTAGTTGTCGTTTGTTGATGTGGTTCATAAGTGTTTCTCGTTTTTTATATAGATTAGACCGTTGGTTTTCCCGTTTGAATGGTTTTACACTAGTAATTTTTGGAGCCGTTTATAGCTTGCTGTTCGTTGTGAGCCAAGGCTCCGTGTTGAAGACCGTACTGTGACCTATAATGGTTTACTTTTATAAATTTTGACTTGGATGGAGAGTTGTCTCATTGGCACTTATACCACATCTTCTTATATCTAACACAGATTACCAAGACATTTTTGTATCTAAAATATTCAAATATACAAGCTGCCTGAGGTGTTGATTTGTCTGTTACAAATATGACCGCACATTTTTTCATTTTATCCTATAATTGACCATTTAACAAACAAATACAGAACAGGGGCGGATCCAGCCATTTTAAAAGGGGGGTTCCTAACGCAGGATTAAGGGGGTTCCAACTATATGTCCCCATTTAAATGCATTCATCGTCAAAAAAGGGGGGTTCCAACCCCCGGAACCCCCCCCCCCCCTGGATCCGCCACTGCAGGAGTACAAATTAACTAAAAAATATCGCCTCGGGATATGTTAAGAGCAAATAGTAATATTCCAATTTCTGTATACGTTGAAATTTATTTCGAATTCTCTAAAGTGGTCCGCGTTCAAGCATTGACGATTTCTTTATTAAAATGATTAAAGACATATAAAGTTAAAACGAAAAATCTGATTTACATAGTTACTTAAAAAATAGATACATTTTGGAATTGCTTTCGTTTTGATGGTTTTAAAGTAAACAGACCACAGGCTGAGGTACATGTATAGCCCCATCTCACAAAGTTAAAATGATGGTCACCCCTATTACACAAGAAAAAGAAATATATATATTTGAATATTTAATTGACTTGATCAAATTCTGTTAGATATATCAACAACAAAAATCAAAAACACCATTTCGTCAATATTTTCCCCAGACGCATAGAATATACGGAATATACTTTTGTCATTGTACATTACATTCGCAGGAATACTTTGCAAGTATTGCGCATAAGAATAACAAAAAATGAAAACAGAATTTTCTAAGTTCTTTTATCAACTTATGATTTAACAGAACAGTAGTAAAGGGACTTATATAGCGTATGATTATTCATGACAATAGTTTCTGGAATAGACTTGAAGTCGCCATTATGTAACTTCGAAGTTAGCATTTTATCTAATGCCAAATTATTGGCAAGATTGTCGTAAACAAGCGTAGATCGTCAATATTGAAAACAGAATCAATACGAGTTCTAAAACAGATCTTTTTTATAAAGTTTCTTCTCAGTAAACATGCAAGGAATTCCTTGAATATTTGGCATAGAAAAAGTTCAAGATCTATCATGTAAAATGTTCAATTTCAGGCTTCCAATTTATCAAAAGAGAAAGTGAAAATTGATGTTCTACTTTTTTAAGGGAATATAGCCTTTGCTGAGATGGCTGTGAGTGGAGCTCGAAAGATTAGTGATGGAACTATCGTTATAATTTATCTTTATTTTTGAGCTCTAAAGTGTCCGGTTACTGCTAATCTTCATTTTTTAGAACGTCAGATATATCGAAAAAGTCACAAAAGAGGGACGAAAGATACCAGAGGGACAGTCAAACTCACAAATCGAAATTGTCTTTTTACCTTATGTTTTGTTTTTGGTTGTTGCTTTTGTTTTTTTGTGTTTAGTTTGTTTTGGTTTTGTTTTTAATTATTATAAGATATTTCATCCTCCCTGTAGAATTTATTCACAAGTTGTCGCATAGACTTGGCAAATATGTTGGAGACCTTGTGTAACCTCCAGATGTCTATTCTGTTTGACTTCTGTTGTTTGTTAACGTTAATTCTTAAATCTCCCTTTCATTCATATTTGTATACGTATCACGGTAGTAAGAAACTAAAGTTATTTCATAAAGGCAGGTTCTTAAACGACAGAACATGTACAACGAAGTAATACTAGAGATAAGTATTTTTTTCTGTTTCCTTTATAATTTAGAATAACGCTCATAATAGAAGCGTTAAATCCCTGTAAAGTTTTGTGTTGCATCTTTCTTTTTTTCTCCCTTCAAGTACCTCCATGTTATTTACGTGTTTTAATGTCAACAAAAAGTAACATATCAAAAAATATTGACACTGTCGTTATCTGGTTTCAGACAATTAAGATATATGTATAAAAACTAATGGTCCTTCTATCCAAATTAATTGTGGTAATGGTATCTAAGGGCTTTAAAATGTCACTTTACTTGACCTTAAAATGCCGATAAATTCTGTCCGCAATCAAACATATAACAAATGTCTTGTTTAAATGAACATCGCTGTATATAGTCTTCAATGCTATTAGTCTGATCAATAAATATAGAATTTTGTAAATGGAAACTGATGTCTGTTAAGGATTTAGATATAATATACATATATATAATATCGATCAATTGTCACTTTTATTATAGATATAAAACAGTACCCAAAGACGATGCTTTCCGACAAGAAGCTTGGCAATAAATCAATGCATATGCAAATGTTAAGTAGGTATTTGGTGGTAAAATTGAACTAAGTAATAATGTTAAATTGGATATAAAGCAATTATATCTAGAAATTAAAAGCAAAGTCTCAAGATAAATTGTCAATGACATAAAACAATGTGTTGTTTCAAACAAACTTAAGTTGTTTTAAAAGCAAGGTGACTAGTTCAAGTCATGTACAGTACACATTTAGTGCACGATGAAACAACTATCCTTTACCATCGGGAAATTTTAGACATTCGATAATAAAAAAAGGGGCAACAATTTAAGGAAATATCTTTCTATTATGATATGAAGTTGCTTAGATTTCAACGCAAAACTTAACAGCGACGGACGGGTGAACTAACTAACGAATGAAGAAATATAGTTGCAGTAGTATTTTACTAAATGAGGCATTTCGTTAAAAACAAATTGGAACAAAGACACATATAACAGGATCTTTAACTATTGAGAAGGTATATAATGAACACTTAAATATACAGGGAAATCTAATTTATAAAAAGGGGAGTCTTTAAGCAAATCTATATTGAGGGGAACATTTCAATAGGTGTGCAAACATCTCTGAAGTTTCAAGGATCTGATTTGAAAACTGTAGAAGGAGTTGATAGTACAAAGTTTTACCAACTGAAAAGCTTGTCAATAAAATCTTCTGAAAAATAAGAAAATATTCTCAAACAAAATTTTAGAAGCAGATGCACAACTGAAAATGCAATCTTTTTATGAGGTTCCAGGGATCAGGGTTGAAAACTAAATCAGTATAAAACATTGGTACTGTCTTTTGTAAATTTGTCTGAAAACTTATGAAGTTCCCAAGTCTGAAAATGTTGGAAAAGAGTCTTCTAACAACTGCATAATAAGAGGGTCACACCGTCAGTATGTGTGTACTCTTTCTGTGACTCGAGATGTCTGGGGTCTGGGTTAAAAATTTAGGGGCTTTGATCACAAAAAAATAAGTACCCTCTTGCAAGTTTTGCTGAAAAATGACATAATTCCCAGCCTCAAAAATGGGGAAAAAAATCTTCAATAAAAGCATGTTCACAACTTCAATACGTGTGCAATCTTTCCTTCAAGTTTCGGGAATGAGTGTTAACAACTGTATGATGAGTTGGGTAAACAAAATAGGTAGCAACTTACCCCCGACCGCAACCATAGTTCCCCAACCACCACTCCCCTCCCCACCCCCATATTATTACCCGGTCATTATATGTATTATGAATTAGGTATCAGATAATC